CCTCCCCTGGGGGGTGAACTCTGCTAACCCAGGGCTACACCAATCTACATACTTGCTGGGGACTTTTTTTTTTATTTTTTTGAAGTTCAAAGGCATTTTTTTCCTTTTAGTTTTTCCTGCACTCTGCTTGCAAAAAAAGGGGACAGGTCACGGTTTCTATTTCACATTATTACCAACCCAGAAAGTGCCCTTCTCCTTAAAAACAAACAAACAAACAACAAAGGTAAGGACAAATATGTTTGAATTCCAAGATATTTCCAGAAGCTGCTAGAGCTTACAATTAAGCTGATTTGAGAAGGAACAGCATTTAGTTTCACAGGTATCTGTAGATATCTGATCCTTCAGCTCTAGTTAGACTACCCCTGTAAGTGGCTTTGGTACTCAGAGATCTCCACTCACCACTTCCTTAGCACTTTAAAAAAAAAAAAAAAAAAAACAAATAAAAACTCCCCAAGCTTCTGACTCCCTTGAATTGTTCTTGTGCCCAAATGGGGGCAAGCAAATGTCAATATGAAAACAGCTACTACACTAATTCCCTGGTGACCCAGCTCAATATTTCATTAGCAAAGGCACTGTGAAGCCACATAGAATTTGGGAGAAAAAACAAACAAACAAACACATAACAACCCACATCTAACCTGAGGTTGTATTTTGTGACTGTCATTGAATGTCCCTTCTCTGAGAGCATTATCAGCATCCAGAACAGCCACTGGAGCTGAGAGGCATGTTGTGTATATGGTGCTGTGGTCCCGGTTCCCTGCTCAAGTTACAATACAAACCAGTTTGCTCCAGGAAAAAAAAAAAAAAAATAGAAGTCTGTCTTCATACACTTATAGGAGCAACCTGGGGTTGTGTTGTCAGGTTTTGCTGTTTTGATGAGACCTATTGTTTTGTCTCACTGACAACCAAGCAGCCTCAGCAGCTGACCTGCACTTTAACAAAGTGCTCAGGAATTAAAACAGCTCATTAAAGTGCTCGGTGCCACAGACACCTCCTTTCCCCATTATGCCTTTATTGAGAACCATATTAAGAACCAAAGCATACAGGAGACCAATAGGGAACCATTCTGAGAACTACTGTTTTACATTACCTTCTCCTCCTCCTGCCATTGTTTTTTCCTCTTGGCATTGAAAAAAGCTATCCAGGGTCTCACAATTAAGGAATTTTTATATTCCTCAACTGCCCCACCATTATATGGGTTTCAGATTGCCCCTTCAACCTCCCTCCACTTCTGGGTGTCTTGCTCAAGTCTAACAGCTCCAACCTCACATCCCTTGTCAAATTAGCATTATTGAAGCACAAGTGAGTGATCTGAAGCAATTTAAACTAATTTAGGTCACAGAACTCCTATCCTGTCTGCTGTCCTCCAAACCCCACCAGTAGGTCCAACCCCATGACTCACCACACTGGATACAGGCAAAAGCTGCATGGAGCAGAGACACTGAGGTACCAACCCCACCAGGACACAAAAATACCACAGTGCTGATTTTTGGTTTGAGGTAGAATAAGCAGGGTGAGTGTAAACAAAGGGACACAGTGGAGCAGCTCAGACTTGGAAGAAGACAGTCAGCAGCAGGGAAGGAAGATGAGACATCATGAAGCTCAGCCTCTGCACTGTGACTTCAAGCAGCCTGCCATCTGAAAAACCAGTGTCAGCCCAGGGCAGCTCAGGTCAGATGTCACTTAGTTATCACACATGGAAGAAACTATTCTATTTCTCAGGTCACTTACTCCATGTAGGACTCTGGAAGAGTTCAAGACTCTTCTTCAATACTCACCCCACTGAAGTATGCACACTCACAATCACTTTTAGTATTGTTTCAATTTCTTTAAATACGTGTAAAAGCATACCAAGGGCACTAATATTACTTAAATCACAAAAACCCCACAAGAGCTGCATGGAGCAAGCAAATGGTTGCAGTACTTGAGTCAGTACAGTTGAATCAGTAACAGGGGCAGCTGGGAAAAGCTCACCATTTTTTACCAGAACACACAAAGCCTTCAGAAAAGAGTGAGCAGAAAGTTAAACAGAAGTTAACCCCCAGATATAACAGTCTACGAGTCTACTTACATATCCAACCCCCCTGTGCTTACACAAGGTCAAAAAACATACAACAGAAGCTGAATACTTACTATTGAGAGACTCCAGCTAAATGTCAAACTTCTTTTCATGAAGCACAACTAGTCGGTTAAAAGAGAAACTCCAGACAGCTGAACAACTATTCTAGGTTACCAAATGCTCGTTTTTATCAAGTTAGAAAGCAACTATTCTACACTACTGCTTCCTTAAACAGATCATTTACGGCAAAGAGAATCTGCACGTCACATGCAGCCATGAGCTCCTGTAGTAAGGGTACACCTAGAACTCTTAGCTCATCTGAGCACGCAGACACCTCGCTGAGTGTCACTAACAACTCCAGCAGTTGCTAAGGCATTAACAGGTGCATGCAGATATTCAGGAGTGCAGCCACAGGATGAGATTTTTAGCCACAGTATGAGAGGGTTTTGTTGCTTGGTGGTTTTTTTTTTTTTCCCCCGAGAGTACCACCTTAAAGGGGTAAAACATCCTGTGCTGGTCGTTAACTATATTGAAGTTTCTCAAACTGATCGTCAACTAAAACCAGAAGACAGTGCTGGAGACGCACAAGCACATCATCCAGCTCGCTGTGCCCGGTTATGCAACCTCACCTCCTTACTGCTAACAATGCTGCCTTCCACCCTTAGGCTTTCAGCGACATTACTGAAGTCTCAGGCCAAAATCCTCCTCCGGGAATTCCTGTACCACCCAGTGACCCCGTCCCTTTGTATGGCTACTCCGCCAACTCCAGCCGGCGCTGGAACTGCCCGAGTTTAGGGACACCTAGCAGCACACATTTCCTTATCTGGCTATGAAGCAATTTTTACGTAAGGGACGAAAAAGGCGATCCTATTCTTCTCAAGGTGCCGGGCGGACCTGTGGGCTTCCCGGAGGGGACGGCGGGGGCGCAGCAGGCGGGGGATGCGGGGACATGTGCGAGTGGGGGAGGGCTGGAGGGAGGGAGCGCTGGCGGCGCGTTCCCCTTTAAGTGTGGCAGCGCACACATGGAGCCGCATTGTGCGGCCCCGCGCATGCGGGTCCCCTCGGCGGGGCCGGGCCGGGCCAGCTCGGCCGCCCGCCCGCCCGGGGACAAAGGGAGGGGGCGCGGCGACACCGAGCCCGGCGGACACCCCGCGGACACCCCGCTGCCCTCCGCGGCCGCCGCCGCCCCGGCCCTGCCCGGCCCCCGGCCCGCTCCCCAACTCCTCCTCCCCCGCGCCCGGCCCGCCCTCTCGCCCCCGGCGGACCCCCCGCCCCTCCCCGCGGGTCCCCCCGCGGCGGTCCCGCCGCCCCCCCACTCCCCCAACCATCCCGCCGCTGCCCCGGTGCTCTGCCCCCGCCGCTCCTCCCGACAACAAAGGGGGAGAGCGGCCTCCCCCTCCCGGCACGGGAGGCGAGGGGGAGCCGCGGCGGGGAGGCGGGACGGGGGCACCGCAGGTCCCCGCAGGAAGGGGTGCGAGAGCGGGGGGGGTCACCCGGGCCCGGAGTACCGGGGTTGGGGGGGAACCCTCCTTCCTCCGCCTCTCCGCGGGGCCTCACAAACACCCCCAAGCGTCCCCCCGCGCATCCCCCGCGCTGCGGGACGAGCTCCGCGTCCCTTCTCCCCCCGCCCCGGGCGGACGGGCCCGCAAGGGGAGGGCACGGGGAGCGCTCGGGGAGCCCCCGCCAGGCTCGGGACTGTGGGGCCCGGTGCCACCCCGCGCTGCCCCGGCGGGACGGGGGCGGCCGAGGGGACGCTCCCCCGCCGTGCCGGCCCCGCTCCCCTCCCCCGGCTCCCCTGGCAGCGATCGCCGGCCCGGCTCCCCCTCCCCCGCTCGGCCTAGTTCCCTCGGCTCCCGGCTGGGCACGGCGCGGCGAGGGGGGGCCGTAATCTCCCCTTCCCCCTCACACACACACCGCCGCCCGCCCCCTCCCCGAGCCGGCGCCCCTTCCTTCCCCTCCCGCGGGCCGCGGCCCCTCCGAGGCCGCCCGGCCGCCGCTCCCCCGCGGCGGATGACCCGCCGCCCTCCGTCCGCCGCCGGTCCGGCTACCTGCTAGTTGTCTCCGCAGTAGCAAGGCGGACTGGAGCTCCGTCATTCTCCCCCGCTCTGCCCGGGGAGGGAGTCCCAGCGGCGGCGGGGACGGCGCGGCTCCTGGCGCTGGGAGAGGCGGCGGCGGCGAGCGTCGCTCAGCCCGCCCGCTCCGCGCCCGCCGGGGGTCTGGCTCGGCGCCGGCCGCCACAGCACGCAGGGTCCCGGGCAGGGCAGCGCGGCCGTGGCTCCGAGCCGCCCTCCTCCTCCGAGCCCTCAGCGCCGCCACCTCCCGCTCCCCCCGCCAGGAATTTCACCGCACTCGGCGCCGCGCAGGCGCGCCCGGCCCTTCCGCGCCGCCATCTTGAGAGGGGCGGGCAGGCGGCAGCCGCGTCCGGCCGCCATGTTGGGAAGGTCCCTGTCCTCCCCTCCCCCCCCCCCCCCCCACTGTTGAAGCCCAGTCTGCGGGCGAGCGGTTCGTGAGGGGAATGTCCTCGCGAAGGACGTCTGTGGCAGTAAACTAAATCACTAGAAGTTCCACCTCGACATGAGGAAGAACTTCTCTCTGTTGAGGGTGGCAGAGCGCTGGAACAGCTGCCCAGGGCGGTCGTGGAGGCTCCCTCTCTGGAGACATTCCAACCCACCTGGACGCGTCCCTGCGTGACCTGCTCTGGGTAACCCTGCCTTGGCCTGGGTTGTGCTGGGTGATCTCCAGAGGTCCCTTCCAACCCTAACAATTCTGTGATTCTGTGCACGTCCTCATGAAAGACATTTTTAGGATGAAATTCTCCCCTGTGAGGGTGGGGAGGCCCTGGCACAGGTTGCCCAGAGAAGCTGCCCCATCCCTGGAAGTGTCCAAGGCCAGGCTGGACAGGGCTTGGAGCAACCTGGGCTAGTGGAAGGTGTCTCTGCCCATGGCAGGGTTTTGGAATGAGATGATCTTTAAGGTCCTTTCCAAGCCATAACATATTTTTCTCTGATTCTATGAGGGGCACAGTGCTGGCGGCTGCTGTCCTGGCTGTCTCTGCCGGCACCTCTGAGGGCTGAGGGATTCTCCAGAGGGAAAGCTGGCTGGACACGTCTGCCCTCAGCATAGTAAGTAAGAACAGCTCCCTGGCCATGGGTCTTTCCTCAGAGCCCTCAGACTGCTGCCATCTCCCAACCCACTAAAATACAGGCAGTTTTGAGCAGGAGGATATGCCCAGGAAAGGTAAAAAGCAGGATAAAAAGCCTAAATCAACCCTTATACCTGTGAGGGGTGAAAGGGCTCTCCTGCATTAGTGTACCCCTGGAGGACAACCTAGGCTTGGGTTTGGATCTCCAGCAAACGCCTTCAGAAAAAGGGCTTTTTGGGACATGACTGCAATTCTGAGGACAGGCACTGCTCAGGGAAAGAGCTAAAAATTAAGATAATTTATCCCAAAGAACTAAGTAAACAGCCAGGAGAGGTCTGACAAAAATACAAATTGTCTGTATGCTCATGTGTTGACTGTGAAAAATACACTGTGATAAATAGGTGTGTGAGATTTTAAAATAGAAGGCATGGGCTGCTTTACATCTCTCTCATAGTCTTTCAGCATCCTATTGGATTCTCTTAATTTTACATTTCAGTTCTCAAGTAAATGCAGTTTCTGGCTAATTGGATGAACCATTATCACCAGTGACAGAGAGCAGGGAACTCCCTGCTCTACTGCAGAAAGAAATTAGTACAAAGGGATTTATCCTGTATCAGTTTGACAGAAATGTTCAAACCCTTTACAAAAGCAGCCCTCTTTATTTTTTCTACTACACGGGGTTTATTTTGTTTGTGAACACCAAACTTGACTTGCAACGAAGGAAAGAGAACAAGCCTATGAGGGAGATGTTTTTGGTTGGCGCTGCTGAAGTCATTTCCCATGCTGCAACTTGGAAGGCCCAAGTCTGAGAGTTTCATTACTGTGCTAGTACAATTAATCAGAATACTATTCCCAGATGTTCTTGCAATTCTGATTAAATCTGTGTCCTTTTCAATGATTAAACTAGGATGACAGAAGACATTCCACAGTGTATGATACCATTGCCACAATTCATCTCACAAGGGTGTTCTTTGCCAAAGAAAGTCTTTGTGAAAGCCTTTCTCCTTTGTAGGTTGACTCAAATTCTTGAATGCATTTTGTATTTGTATTTTGTATTGCTCCAGTCAGGTTCATTCAGTCTTAAAAACCTTCTATCCATTTAAACATAGAAGGCTATCATGTGCAAGTGCATTTTGTAAACTTATTATGCTAAGAGACAGTCACCCAGATTGGAATTCAGGCGTGTTGATGGGAAGTGACACTATTGTGGATGGTATTTCTCTTCCAGGAATAAAAGGTAGGCTTTCTTCACAATGTCAGTTAAGCCAGCACTAAATTCACTCGCTCAACTTTCTGTACCTGATGTCAGTTCAGGCATGAGTACACTTTCTGACAGTTCTATTAATAGAGGACCTAACTACAGCACTGAAGACTGAAAGGTTATATGAAACAACTCTATTTCTATTACGTTCTGTTAATCAAAATCATCCTGAATTCTTCACCATCAGGTCACTCGGTGTCAATCATCTGAAAGGAAGTTTTCTGTGGTCTCCTGCACCTCGTGTATGAATTTCCTTGTAAGGAACACAGAAGGCTGTGGGTTGGGGAAAAAGGATTCGGTTTAAGCTGGCACAAATGACCTGGATTCCTTTATTCTGGCAGCAGATTCAACCCTAGTTTATAAAAGTAGTTTGTTTCATTATAGGAAGCATTGGCAGCTTGAAGTGCTGTAACCTTGCTCTGTGAAATCACCTTGTGTGCAGCTGCAAAGTGCCCAGCACGGCCCCAGTGGGGAGGGCAGGTGTGGGACCGGGGCATAAACGAGTTTAGTGTTTCCTTGCCCCAGTAAAGACTCTGTGGAATCCCATCATGAAAATGGAGCTGTCCTGCCTCAGCAGAGAAGGAACTCTGTTGGCTCGCAGGTCATGTTGCCTGTCCTTAAACACACCAAGCTGTCTGACAAGAGGGAGAAGCCTTTCCCTGCTGGATGCAGTGATCCTCTGCTCTGTTAATATCTGCTTTCTGCACTGCCTATGCACAAACACTTTGTCCTCCCGTTTGCTGAGGCAACATGCAGCACATTGGAGGAAAAGATCTCAAGATAAGAGAGACTGTTTTCTTGAATTTGTTTCATTCCTGTCTCTGGCATGCAGCCCCTGTGCAACCATCTCTCCTGTCTCTGCATTGAATGGAAGGGCAATAAGAATTTAGATTTCTTTCTTTTTTTCTGAGACCATTTCTTGTCTAATGACTGTTCAGCTCTCACAGCCATTTGCATTAATCTTTTCCTTTGGCAAGGCTATATTATCATAATCATTCATGTCACGGTTAGAATAGGAAATCCTGGAACTTTTTCTGTCACCTTAAAAAGGATCAAGGTTTCAAATTCAGCATCTTGCTTTGCTTGACTGTGATGTCTTTCGTTTGACTTTCTCCCCCAGTTCCTCCCTCACGACACAAATCACAGATTACACTGGTACATAGTTTCTGTTAAGTGGAGTCTTCCAGCTGGATTCACACTGTTAACATCATCTGCTCCCCTGCTTCAGCTTCTTGGCAAACTCAAAAAGCTGATGGTAAGATAGACACAGCTCCCTGCTCATGTTCTGCAGTGTTCCTCTCATTTTACATGCTGGAGTCACTGAAGAGACATTCTAAATGGCAGCACTGTGAGGTATCAGTTTTTAGGCTTAAAACCAGTCCCTGTCAGGCAAACAGGGACCATTTCTGTGTCCATTATTGCATTTGCAGGCTTGGGTTTCTCACAGTTTATATTTAGCAAACAAGTTGTTTTCTTAACAGTAAAGGCTGAGTGTTTTTAAGGGCTTATGTTCTGGATCCAAATTGTCACCAGGAGATAGGATCAGTTTGCTGAGCAGTTCTGTGTTCCAGCCTGCCCCTTGCACTTGGTTTTGCTGTGCATTCACTGATATATAAGTAGTTTGCTCCAAGGAGTCTCTCTTTTGAATAAGCCTGGACTGAGTTTGCTTGTGAGTAGTAAAATCTAAATTACCTCTTCATGTATTGTATGCAGAGGTATCATGGCCAGTACCATGAATGTGTCTCATAAAGAGAAATGCTCTGATATATCCTTGTGAAGAGAGAATTTGGGAGGAAAAGGAGACAGCAATTCACTGTATTTTGGGTTCAATTCATAGCTCCTTGCTGGCCTGAATAAGAGCATAACAAGGACTAAAAGCTGTTTTGTTCCCAATCCACTGTGACCTATAAATAAAGCAGGGACTAAACCCGGGCTGAACACACCAGTCTGGCCTCAAGTATTTGTGTTAAGTTCAAGGCTACTCCTCTACACAACAGGTTCAAAAGTTTAACTGTTACTCAAACGTTGGGCTCATGTTTCACTGGGAAGTGGGTGTGTGTGCAAAGAAGCGGGATTTCCTGGAAAAATCTGGACCAGTGAATCAGTAGCAGGGCAAACAGAGAGAAGCCTGGGGCAGGAATTGCTGCAGCTGCTACAACACATCTCTTCAGAACCTGCCTCCGTGCAGGGCATGATGAAAACATTGGTATCAACTTGTGTTGTAGCAAGGCTCAGCTTCTCCAGCTGAGATCAGAGTCCTGCTGGGTTTACACTGATCCTCCAGATCTCCTGTACAGGGAAAGCTCCCCATCTTCCCCACGAGCCCAGCCAGGATGGCAGTCCACTGTGCTAAACTGTCTTGTCCAGGATAGCAGAGCAAGCCTTGGAGCCAGAAATAGGAGCTGGTCCTGACTCCCATTCCCTGATACATGAAACCACAATGACTGTAATGTTCAAACCTCTCCATGTGTCTGTCTGTCATTCCTTAATAAATCCAGCAGTATTCCCACTGGGTCACTGATAAAGGTTTTGGTTGTGGTGTGAAACACGGACAGTGATTCCTTGAACCAGGGAGAGGGGATGTATCTGTGGACTAAGTTGTTCACTGAAGGCTGACACCTGAACAAAGTGTTTTGGCTGGACTTTTGGGTAAGATTTGTGGTATGAATCAACCTTGACAGGAATGGCTGTGTTAAAACAGTCTCAGGAACTGCAGGAAATCCTTATGGATTCTTATGGTGGTGTTGACTCAGGCTTTTGGCAGGAAGGTGCTGTTTAAGACCTGGGTAAACCAGAATGACCTTGTTCCAAACTTTATTTGTATAAGCTTAAACTATTACTTAAACTGATAGTGTTCCCAGCTGGGAAATGGAGACATGCCTGGTCATTAATGGCAGCAGAGGGTCAAATGACCCCTGAGAGGTGGTCACTTCACACAACATGGACATAATTTCTTCAGAATTTGACTTCTTCCCTCATTATTAGCGAGAAACGACATCAAAATAAAACTGCAAACAGAAGCAGCAGAAATGAATGACGAGAGACTGTCTTGAATGCCAAAACAGTGATGGGAAGGGTTAAACCAAAATGGAAATTGCAATTTTATAACTTATATTTCTAAAGAACCGAGTGTGAGAGATTTTTACTTTGCAAACTGCAAAGCCTGACCTAATTACAATCAGTTTAATATACCTGATGGAAAGCAGTCATGAGATCCACTGCTGTGTCAGTGTTCAACCCTTGGAACAAACACAGGGATGTGAAATAGGAGGCAGGTCAGAATTGATTTGCCTTTTCTGAAATGCTGGCATGTTACTGGAAGACAATAAACACCAGAATTCTTTCTTGAAGAAAACAAGGACATAGACTCAAGAACGGTTATTTGTATGTAAATTTGCTGCCAGAAGTTAAAATACTGTTTTCACTTCTTCCTTTTTCTATTGTTGGCTTAAACAAGAGATTTAAATAATTCACTGATGGTTTAAAATGGCAAGCAAGAGATCATAATTTACATGATTTATTTTACATTTATAATTCTTAATTATTTTCTTAAATGTCAGCAGATTCCTTGTGCTTGGCAGCATGCTACTTTTTGACAGTCAGCAGGACTGGAGTAGTCATTGATTTAAGATATGTGGACATATATCTATTCAAAGTTCTGATTTTGTTCAAGTATTATTTGAAACCTTTTCTTTAAGAGATGCTGTGAGCTTTTAACTGATTCCTTCTGTTTAGTTACATGTGATGAGATTCAGTTAAAATGCACAAAGGAATCATTAATGAGAGATGAAAATTTAGTTTTAGCTCCCCCAGCTTCCAAGATATTCATACTACCAGAGCTCATCCTCCCACAGGTTAGAGCTCATCATCCTGCAGCTTGATTTGGTGCATAGTTGGGAAAAGGGAAAACCAAGCTGGTTCCTTTTCCAAACCCCTGTTTAGTTCTCATCTCTTAATGAACCAGTCATCAAAATGAACTTGTTGAATAAACTGAAACGAAGGAATCGCTTTCTTTCTGCACCTGCAGGTGAAGCTGTGCTGGAAGGAGCTGGTTCAGCACTCCTGTGCTATTTCCAGCCACTTACTCAGTAACACCCACCAGTTCAGTGTTTTGACTTTCTCTGAAATTCCTGCAGCGAGCCCGAGCTCCTGGGATATTCTGTACCCAGTGCTGCTGGATTTCATGGCGTGTGGGCTGCCCTTATTTCACATTTTATTTTAGATGGGGCTGTTTTTAAAAGGACAGATATACTCGGTTTAAAATAAAGAATTGCACTTTAAAAGATTGTTTTGTCATTTAAACTGATAAATCCTTTCCTTTTGCCCACATTTTGCAAAATGTATCCTAAAAACTCATTTTTGCAAAATGTATCCCAGTTGAAGCCTCCTGCCTCAAATTGTGGCCGGAAATTGTTGATTATGAGGTATAGAAAGTGCTTGGCAACAAAGTGAATTTTTTCCTGGAACAGTAAACTTGCAGTTCTTTGAGATATGCTCATATTTGTACCTGACACATTCTGGTGCCTTTGCAAGCCCAAAATTAGTGCAGTGCACGAAAGGGAAGGAGATCTGTCTGCAGACAGGGAGGGTTTGGATAGAAATTCTGAGGTGAACAGAGCAGGGGGTATAATACACCCTGCACAAGGGCTGTGTGTGAGCACGAGCAACAGTTCAAGGGCCAAATCCCTCAATGTGGGTGCAGTTGTAGGTGTTAGATGAGGATTAGTCCCACAAGGGAAGCAAAATAGGTTAAGGTATTGTAAATCCAGCCATCAGTGGGCTGGTGAGTTATAACACAATATTTGCCTCTACTGGAAAACTATACAAGCACAATTCTTACCTTACACACAGGTACTCTGGCATTAAATTTAATTTTAGCAGGAGCCCAAGGAAAAGCCTGGCTTTGGAGCACCAGGCAGGAAAAAGGGGTGGACAAAAGGGCTGAGGGCTCAGACCTGTGGGGTGTGGGAACTCCTCACTGCAGTGCTGGGTTTGTCTGAGCTCAGTGTGGGGCTGGGCAGGACTGGTTTGCTTTTCTGACAGGACTGTGAACTCCTCGGAGGAGGAGGAAAGGGGGGAGGGAGAATGGAGGCAGTGAAAACACAGGTGGCTTCAGTTATATTTGGCTTTTTGAACAGATTAATCACTTTGCTGATTTACACCGGCCTGATTCTGTAGTTTAAAATTATTTCTTAAGGAAGCACTTTAATGAACCAAGTCAGAAGATGCTCTGTTGACATAAGCCTTGTTGTGAGGTAAAGAAAATATTTTTTTTTTGGCAGTTTGGCAAATGGAGTGACTGCAGTTCTTCCATGACTTTGAGAAGCCAGTTAAACTCCTGTGACTGTTCTGGACTTCGAAACAAAGGCTCTTCTTAGCTTCATTTAACTTTGGGATTTACAATAATAAATTCTCATAACACTTTTTTCCAAGCAAATGCAGCAGCTGAAGTTGATATTAATGCTCCTATTGATAAGACTCGTAGCATTATATCAGTATTACTTTCTACTATGTCTTATTTTTAGCTTAAGACAACAGTGTTACATAACAGGGGAACATGATTAAAAACTAAGTATTGACTAATATGAAAAGCATCCAAAAAGCTACTTTGAAGTATGGAAAAGAGACTTTGCTGGTGGCTGGCTCATAAGAACAAAGAGATAATAGTTCTTCAACTGGTGCTGAACTTGTCTTAAGCAAAAGTAGCTTCTTGAAATCATGAGAACAAAATTCTTTTATTATCAGCCTGAGATTCTGTATTATTATCATAATGTATCAAAAGTGTTTAAAGTGTGCAAATGCCAACATGACTCAGGCAGGAAAGGAAGAAAGGCCAGAGGCTGTTCATACACCTTTCAGTTTTATATGGAACATGGTTTTGAGACCAGGTAAAATTTCTGGTAATGTAAGGAGTGAATGGAAGGAGACTGGGAATGGAACGAATGGAGAGAAGTGAAATTTCTATCCTTTTACTTTAGTATTGCTAAGTAATTAATAGAGGATTCATACAGTAATTTTACTACTATCATTGCAAATTTTGTAAAGAATATTGCATGCAAAGCAGAGCTTTAAGAACCAAGTACTGAAGCCTGAAAACATCTTGTGCATTAATTAACAAGAATCAGAACTGTAGAAGTGTTAATATTTATTGTTTTCTTTCTCCCTTTACAGGTATCATTTGATTTAGAATTACAGCCTTGAAGTCCCTTTGTTTTAGCACAGGAAGTGCAGAGCAAGGAATCCTTCCCAACTCCTTGTCTCCCAGCTTTCCAATATAACTACAGATGATCCTTCCCACACTTCCCCTTTTTTTTTTTTTTGCTCCGTGTTCATGGATTTTTGGAGGTTTTTTTCATCAAAGGCAGATGTTTGACTGGCCAAGATTTGTGCAGACTTCTTTATCTCTAGTGGGTTAAAATCAAACAGAAGATGCCCAGGAAAAGAGTGACTCTGGCCACTTCCTGCCTTTGTTCTGTTGTTGGGGTGGGAGCTGCTCTCTGCCTGAGGTGGGTACCCATCAGTGATAGTGTGGGTATATTTTAATCCCAGTTCCCAGTCTAAATTGCACCATAACTTTAAGAACTTCCAAATATTTACGTAATAACTGCCATAAACATCAGCATCCTGGGGTTAGTGCTTCAAAATGACAAAGTTTTTCTTTTGTTGCTGGCAGAATTTGTCTCCCAGTGCCATCAATTAAGCCTGGCTCTAGTGAGTTCACGTACTTACCCTTCCCAAAAGGCTGAATATTGTCTCACTTTGCCTTACTGGAAGCACTGAGGGTGACAGTAAATCTCCTTGTGCAGGACTCTCTTCTGGGAAGTAAAGTCATTCTCAATACTTAATTAGACTATTTTTAATTTAAATCAATGTTTATTCAAATTTTTAGTTAACCCCAACCTTAATATTCTCTGCAGTGATTAAAATACTGTGTTCACTTGCAGAATAGTCTTCCCTTTCAGTCTGGAAGTAGCAGGGCTGGGAAGAAAGAGGCCTCATAGGGAAAGGCCTCTGTTTTTGTTCTGTCAGTACTTGTCTGTCATTACTCATAACGAATGACTCCTTATCTCTTATGCTCTTATCTTAATTAAGAGGACTCTGGTGTATCAAAGTGAAGATTGCAGTGGTCAACTAATGGTTCTTCTGGGGATGAATGTTTCACTGTGGTAGAAAGGTCAAAACATAGGTTAAACAGACATTTAATCCCACAGTTTTCTTCCCAAATCCAAGCAGATGTCACAGCCCTTTTCTGCTGTAATTGTGTCAGAAGTAAGCAGAATCCTAAAATGTGAGAAATTCACTTATCAGCTACACCAATAAAACTAAGCTTGAGCTAAAAACAGTGGTAAAGGCCAAAGCAGATAAGCTGGTTACTGCAATCATATCTTTGGGGCCTGGTAACTCTAATGCCTCTGTTCTCCTGACCTCCATGAGCTGCTCTGTGCTGGAGCAAATCTCAGCTACAAGAAGCAACTCTGTTCAGTGATGTGCAGCTTCCTCCTTTGTCTGATGTTAGTGCAAGATGTTCTCATTTGCAAAGGAGGTGGTTTTTTTCTTTCCTTTTTGCTTTCCCAGAGAAGAAGGAGGGAGCAGTTAATAGAACTGGAGCGTGTTCATCTTCTGCTGCTCTGTGATTATGTGCTGGAACTGTAATTTCTTCTGCTATACCTTTTGGGGCAGAATTATATGGATACAACCGAGGAGAATGTTACCTGTGAGATGAGTTATTTAGGTAAGAACCTCAAGAAATTTTTTTATAAAGTTGCAGTTTGTTTCTTAATTTAAAAGCTGTAGGAGAAGAGTCTGAACCTGCTTCTCAGCTCAACCAAAAGCATGATCTGCATTCCAGGAAGCAGGAAGTTACATATGGCTTATTTGTCAGTAATAACGAAAAAGTAGATTTTATAGTTTGGAGTGTGTAAATTTTATTTGCTGCTATCACAAGGCTAAAGTACATTTCCACTGGATCTGCACTATGTTTTGTGCTATTATCCAGGCAATGTGAAAGGAAGCATTTTAGATGGAAATTCAGGCTAAGGAGGCAAAAAGGATGTGGTGGCTAAAAATGTAGCATTTATTGAAGCTCACAGAATGAGAATCTTCCAGGCAGATATTTTCCAATTAAGTGTATAGTGAATCAGGTGCTCCAGTTGGTTTTCTTGAAGTTTTTTGGTAACAGAAGATTGCTCATGAAGTGCAGTGAACTCATAAAGATTGTTAGTCTGGATGATTGAGTCCCTTGTTACATATTTGTTCCACAAGATGTAGGCAAAGGCAAGAGACACAAATTCAATAATGGCTCATACATTTAGTTCTGCCTGCAAAGGTGAAGAAAAACTGTGGCAATCTGGTCTTGATTATTCAGTCACTAAATGTCATTCTAAAATCCTAAATATTTCCTAGCAGTATTTGAAGTCATTAGCAGCTGCTACCTGAATGTTAATCGTGACTAATGTGGCCACAAACACCACAGAGAGATAGAGCAGATTCAACAAAGCACAGGTGCAGAATTTCTCAGACTTCCCTCCGAGTTCCCCCCCTCCCAGCCAGGATGGGCTGTGCATTCCAAGGCAAGAACAGCCTGGCAAATGTGCATCAGGCTGGAGCTGAAAGGCGAGGAAAATACACACGTTGGGAGATGAGTCATCCCTGGACTTTTGTAAGAGCATCTTTTATGAGCGCGGGGTGAAGCGTTGACTCTGTAATCGGCCGGAACCGAAATTCACGCTGAATTTCACACGTGGTGACATCGCTCGAGCCGCTGCCCTGGGGTCGGTTTGGTCACCGCTTGGTTTGAGCCGCAGGTCAAACTGCTGCCCTGCAGCCCCGCAGCCCGGGTGGTCACGTCTCAGGCCAACTCGGTGTTTTAGCGCTGCAGACGGGGTTCAAACCCAGCCTTGGTTCCAATACCGACAAACCTTAACCCCCCCCCAGCCTCTTACATAAATCTCTGTCCCTCTGCAGCTCCTTTGCAGTCATTACATTGTCTTTAGATCTCCTTGGAGTGGAATACTTCAGGTAGGTCCAGACACGCATTTATCGAGCTGTCTGTCTACTAGGATGATATAAAATTTTACTCTTCTGATCTTTTCGGACCCTAAAATTTCTAAGTTTTGCAGCAATCCATATCTCAGTTGATGGCAAAATCTCATGATTTATGGATCTGCTTCCATCACAAGGGGTTAAAAATACCTACACCTCAAAATGCAGGCTAGTCTTATATGGTCACCATTAAATACTGTCCAGTCTTACATGGTCACCATTAAATACTGCTGGTTGCAACCCTATTGCAGCCATTAAATACAAGCTTGCAAATACACACAAGCATATATTTTCTTTTGGTTACTTTATGTTCTCTGTGTGAGTCATGCACAGAGAGATACCAAAAGCAACTTATTTCTTTCTTCCTAAAATCATTATTGTAAGATCTAGTCAACAAGGAATATTATTTCCATATTCAATTCTTTCACAGACTGTTGCTGTTTGCTATTCTGTGGCTTAATAAGCTTCTTTTCATTGCACGTACAGAAATGGTTTGGTGTTAATCAGGATAATAAGATATTTTCAATTTATATGTTTCTGACATCTTGGTTCACTATTAATGCCCCTTCTGGTGGACTTTTCTGGGAAGGCTCTGGCAAAGCTCCAAAGCAGTTCATGGATGTGGCAGCACCCACTATTAAAGGATATTTAGATATGTAAATGCATTCAAGGGCATTTTGTAGTAAATACTTGGAAATCCTTTCTGGGAAAAGCGGAAGCTCTCACACACTCCTGTTGGGTTTCAGGTATGGCACGTTTGTTGGCCTGCTGAGTGTCAGCCAGCCAGTTTGGGCATCACCAAATGTGTTGGACTAGTGCCAAACATGAAAATAAAGAGGTTCTGACTTGCTGCTCACACAGAAGGGTTTAACTGCATGGCACAACCCTGAGATCTCGTGCTCAAATGAACCACCAAGAGAACAGAGCTTCTGAAGGAGTGGAACAGGGAAGAAAAGCTAATTTTTATATTGTACCCCTGCGTAAGATGTGCAGGCAAACACTGCACTTTGTTCTGAGAAGGGAACTGCCTCACTGATAGAAAGGAACAAATAAGGAAAATAAATAATTGCCTATAAAGAAACGAGCTGTAATCTTGCCTAACAAAAGCTGAGTTGTATTGTGCAGTGGTATTCTGTATTCCACACAGAAGGAGAGGATTGTCACAAAGTTTTGCAGGAATTTTTGGCCCAGTGTTGTCTGGATGAACAGGAAAATTGTGGTTGGAGACCAGGACAAGCAGGCAGTTATAGGCAGGTGGTTATCAAGGAATGATGCCTTTAGGAGCTGACAGAGAGAGGCAAAGTCTCAGGGGCCTTTTAGAAACCACCGCAGACTTGTGTCCGACAGTGAAACCCAGAGGGGATGGAAGGAGGCGACACTGAGATATGGAAGAAAGGAACATGCAAAGGGATGTGAGGGCTGGTACCAGTGGCCAGGTAACACAGCAATAAAAATCATGAAGTGGAAGTGACTGAAACTTTAATGAAGGGCAGAAAGGGAAGAAAAAGTTAAAGAGGAGTTTAGAACTGGTGGTTTGGTGTTTGTGAGGAACATTTTCTGTTTAATCTGACTGTGTCTTTGGAAAATTTAGAATTTGGAAATTGTGTTTCAAAAGAGCAGAACTGAGTTCTTGCCTCAGCAGTTACAGTTAGAAACCTGCTTTTGGCTGTCTGTAAACATCGTGTCTGGCAGTAAATGTCAGCAGTTGAGAGCGATATAGGATGTGCCTGGGAAACTCCGAGGCCGTTGGGATCAAAAGGCATTTAACATATGTAAAGTGCGAGTTAAACCCTGTGAGGCCTTCCTTACCGGCTCTGAGATGCGGCTGGGCATCAAACATGGAAAATATTTCCGCTGAAGGATGGAGAGGCGGGAGAGGCCGGGCTTGGAGCGCCATCGAGCGGCAAAGCCGGGCAGCGCCTCGGCACCGCCACAGCCCGCGGGGACTCGGCAAAGCCATTTTGCTGGGAGGTTTTAATATGTGCTTCTGATTGCCTTTTCTCCACGGCTGTGGGTGGAGATAAAGTTTTTAATCTCTAAAAAGCTGTGACTGATTCAGCGTCCTCGTGAGGGGTCGTGATCCCTCAGCACCCTCACGAGGGGAAGCGGAGGGGCAGGGACCGATCTCGTCACTCTCGTGAGCGGTGACAGGACTCGAGGGAACGGCGGGAGCTGAGTCGGGGGGGTTTAGGTTGGATATCAGGAAAAAGTGTTTGTTTTACCCAGGGGGTGGTCGGGCACTGGAACAGGCTCCCCAGGGCAGTGGGCACAGCACCAAGCCTGACAGAGTTCAGTAAGTGTTTGGACAACGCTCTCAGGGACAGGGGAGGATTGTTGGGGTGTCTGTGCAGGGTTGGACTCGATGATCCTGAGGGGTCCCTTCCAACTCAGCATATTCTATGATTCTTTACTGCTCCCAAGCACGGTCAACTCTTGACTTCATTGGTTTAATGCTGCAGTGGGATGCATGGATAATATGCCATGGACTCAGTGAAGGGTCTATAGCAGAGAAAAAGGCAGTAGTGATAGTATTGAACAGAGCACAGATTGGTTCCCGGTAGCAAGCTGAACACTCTGAAATGTTTTCAGACACAAGCTGACTTACATGGAGCTCCCTTGAGCAGGAGTGGGGAAGAGATGCCCATGAACTGTGTCTAAATCCTCCCCTAAAAGGTTGAGAGCTAAGATGTTAAAATAAAAAAAAAATTCCTCTTGAAATAAAAGTAATATGGACTTACCCATGATTAAATTAAAGTTACCTTCTGGTTTATGAAGAACTAGATCTTCACAAAATGAAGATAGAATGAAATACTGCACTGTTAAACTCATGGAAGCAAAGGGGTCTGGATTTACAAAATGGCCAAGAATACTAAGTGCTATTTTGCTTTTCAGTTTAGTCCAAAGTGTGAAATACATGGTTCTTAAAAAAGCCCCAACCACAGAGTCTTGTCTTCATGCCTGAGTCATGAACCATAAGCAGTACTCATTCCCATTAGCTGCCTCACTCTTTAACTCTTTGAGTTTACTGTTAATTTTCACTTTAAACTTTTTTAACAGGGTGCAAAAAATAAATTACTTTCTCAAGTTGGTAATCCACAAAACGACTCAAAAGATATGTGACTGAACACTTTAATAAATGTGAGTGGCCAGAAGAAAGGCAGCAAATAAAGGTACCTACATGCACCAAAAGGGCAAGAACACCCTCCTGTGCCCTCTGTTCTTCACTTTTTGGACTTGTTTTTGAGGGGAGTAAGGGGAAAAAAATCCCTTTGCACGATTCAGAACTGTGGAATGTGCACAGTTCCAGCAGGGGTGAGGAAAAGTGTTGGTTTCCATCTCCCTTTCTCTGCTTACTGGAGCATTCTGGGTTGATGTTGGTTTTGTTTTGTATTTCCCCTTAAAAATGCCAAACAGAACCCAGCACATAGTCCGGAGTATGAGTCTGCTGCTGATTTGACCCAAAAATTCAGGAACTTACTGGGAAGGATTTTGTTGTGGGGATAGATGTGGCCAGTGCAAAGCACATGGGTGATAACTGGTCAGGTGGCAGGGCCAAGGCTACAGAGCTCTATTTTAAAGGCCAGAGGTTGTGGATGGTGAGAATCAGGTGCAGAGAAAGCAAATGACTTGTCCAGAGTTGCACAAGTGTGTGGAAAAGGAGAGCTCAAGTCAAAACCCAGGTACCTGGTCTAGCAAACAAGCATCCCTTTGTTTCTTTCTCTCTCTTCTCTAGAAAGACTGTTTTTAGCTCTGTCAACTCACTGAGAACTTAAAAAAGGTTATAGTCATTTTTGCACGTGCAGTTCCTGTGAGATCACTGCAGAGTTGTGCACTTTCATTTCTCAGGTGCACAACAGGTTGCCTGGCTTTTGTTTACATTTACTTTCCCTTGTCTTCAAGGCATTGCTCTTCAGCACTTCTGCAAAAGCACAGGGCTGCAGCTCCTTTCTTCATAAGTTCTTCTGACTGCAGGAACATTTCATTTCAGCTCTGAGGGCCGGAAATGACCGTAGTGATTGAAGTTCCTCAAAGCCCCACACAAAACAGGCGTGTGGGTCGGTGCACTGGGGAAACACTTCATCATCCCTGCTGGGTGAGGGCAACATGCAGCCCCCCTGTGCACACGAGGACACAGGCTTGCAGCTCCAGGCACTGCTGGAGGGACAGAACTACGGAGCTGCTGCAGGAGATGGGACACGATGTCCAGCTGTGCCTGCCCCGAGGAACAGCCCGGCAGTGAGGGATTGCCTGGCAGTCGCCGTGCTGTGCTTTGGGAATTTAATAAATTTCATGGATTGGTTCATTGTGCCAGGTGAGAGCCTGTTTTCTTCCTCTAAGGAAAAAGAAATGGAAGTTCTCAACAGCTCTACTTACCCTACAAATGTTTCTAAAGTAATAATATGCTTTATGTCTTTTAATTTTCCCTCACTTATCTGCCTTAGCCTGTTGATCATACTTTTAATAAAACTTCCAGTTATAAGTCTGGAAGCACCTAGGAATAATGTATTAGTTAGTAATGATAAGTAAAATTAGAATATTTATAGAGATCATATAATATTTTACAATCTAAGTCTCTTATGAACAGACTTTAGCAAAGTCTGTTTTTGTATCTGGACTCTACAGAAGATTGACTAAGGAACTTCCCTTTACTGTGTAGAGCAGTTTACCAGGCCTTCTTTGGATCTGGTAGATTCCACAGGGCATTCCTTTATCTGGAGAATACTGATGCCATTCCCTCCATTAAAAGCTCAAAAACTATATTATCTTTGTGCCAACAAAAGATGACTCTGTTATGTTAACTTTTGGCTTTCTTAACTTCCTCGTGAGCTGCTGGCAATCGTGTGCTTCCTGCAATGAGGAGTAACATGATTGTGTAAAGAGAACAGAGACCCACTTCCCTAAGCATCCCCTACCAAACGTACAACTTGTCTAAAAAATAATCTCCTTCCTCCAAAATGTGATTTTTTAACTTTTTTGCTTTCCTAGTGTTGAACAACAAAGAGTTGCTTCTAGTAAACTGGTGGGGAATCTATGGGTTTTTTTTCTCACAATGTTAACTGTGGTCTGTGTAAATTCTTCTGTTTAGCATCACTCCTAAGGATCTACCATGCTGCCAGAGATCTGGCTCAGAAATCAGTAGAAAACACTTGTTGGGAGCTTGCTATATGTTACTTCTGAGTGGTCTGGAAATCAGAAATATTTTAAAACTTTGAAAAAACACAAAAGGTCGATTGTTAAATTTGGAATGAATAACTAGTGACAATGCACAAAATAATTATTCTACTACTTAGACCATTCAGAAATTCAAGACACTCAGTCAGTATCTTTCAAAATGGAGAGGGTAGGGGGTTTAGGAGTTTGAGCTTTTTTATTTTGAGTACTTCTTAACCACACCAGTAAGAGGGAAGGAAGTGAGGAGGAGTGGATGAAAACATCTTCAGGCAAGAGCTGGGATGTGTGGAGGGGATGCACTTGGAAGGGTTAAGTGCAAGCAGCCATTTGGCTCATTCCAGGCTTTGAACTAGTCTTTGTATGTGCCAGGAGCTTAACATTTCCTCAGCATGCTCTTGTGAGCGAGGTACCTTCAAGAGCAGAGGCCAGGCCTTTGAAACATGTCCTTTAATTACACGAGATGACTAAACCACTAAAAGTTAGTTCGGTGACCTCCTGGGCCATGGGGGCCATCTGTAAACTGCAGTTTATACCCCAGCACCAGACTGTTCACCTGCTAGAATTCAGTGTCACTGCAGAATTCTTCCAGCAGTACTTTTGAGTTTGGCTGTCCAGGCAGGAGCACGTTGTTTGACAGGAAAGAGAAGCAGGGCAGGTGTGAGGATCTGATTAGAAAGAAGCTGGTGGCAGTTGTGAAGTTGTGGTTTCCAGGCAGTTTTGCTCACAGGCTTTGACAGAATTCACATCAACAACCACACAGAAAACAAGCTCTTCCACTAAATTGTCTGCTGGAATTGAGTCTCCAGTTTTTAAAACCAGTGATCATGCAGACCTTTCCCCTCTGATCCGTGACCCTGTTCCAAGCTGTTCAAATCAATGCTTTGTCATTTGCCAATAACTGCTCAGGTCAGTTATTCCAGTTCTGTGGAAGGAATAGCAATTTAATGGTGCTCAGTGTGGAAGTCAGTTTGAGATGAAGCTGTGGTTCGGGTCAAGTCTTGTGTTAGCTCTGATTTAAATACTCTGTGAGTCCAAACCTGAATTCCTGTAGTCCAGTATTTCTATGTGCTGATCACTGGCTGCCAGAAAGGAAAGATACAATTGATTGTCCTGTTTTAATGATGCAAAACGATTGAATGAAATCACTGACTTACTTTTGAGACCTTTAGAAAAACCCTAAATATGTTCAAGAGTCATTGAGAAACAGCTGTAAAACCTCTGGAGCTGCCATGAGGCTGGACCTTGTTCTGTGTGACCTCAAGTCACATCAGTAAACAGTGAGTGGACTGATGCTGCAGCCACAGGGACAGGGGGGAGCATGGATTTAGCTTTACAATAACTGGCCTCAAAATGCTTTCAAGAACTGCAGTGGTGTAGTTTTATGGCACAACATGGAAAACACACTGTGGGAGCAGAGGGGCCTCTTGCTGACCTCACCCAGCTCTGTTCTGCTGCAGATCAGCTGCTGTGAGCACAGAGTTCCCCAGAACTTGTTCTCTTACGTGGTCACGGATTCTTCCTCTTAACAACGTTATGATTTTATCTATTTTGACAAAACTAAAGCAGCATGAGAAGAGATACCTTTTAAAAATGATGTCTTTCAATACTGGAGTGCAGGTGTGCTTATTCCAAGCAGTATCTTCTGCTATTTTTAATTGTTTTTCAGCAGAAATGCAAGGTAGGTGAAATGCAGATCTGCAGCCTTGGCAGGACGTAGAGCTAAAAATGACCTTTTTGTCTCAACACCCACGAGGTGTCAAACTTTGCCACTGCTTTGTTCTACATTGTGTCCAACTTTGAACACTAAACTTTTTAGGTACTAATGGTGCAAAAGAAACAGAACAGTTGTGGTTGAAACAGTGACTCTCAGTCTATACAGTGGAAGATCATTAATTATATCTATAGTGATAAGAATTTTTAATTCTCTGTGCATCTGTGCTTGTGGGACAATGATGGTTTACAATCTAAACCAGAAGCTAAAGGTGCTGCAGTTCTTGCAAGCCCTGTTTTTGGGTTGGCAATTACAAGGAATGAGCAGAGTACTCTGCTGCCATTCAGTGTCTGCCTCTGTTGCAGGGATCCTGTTGGATATACAGAAATACTTTGGGCTCAGCGATGGGAAGACAGGTCTGCTGCAGACAGGTAAGGAAACCTCTTCAGTTCAGGGAGTTCTGTCTGCTTTGCCTCTCCACGGTCTGCTCCTAAAACACAGCCACGTTACTTAGTTCTCTAGTTCCTCCTCATGTGTGGTGTTGCTCACTTCCACTTGTGGGCAGGCTGGCTATGATGCAAAACTCAAAGTCAGGCCAGAATAGAGTCCTTCAAAAATCCCACAGCATGTGAATCACAAAGATGAAGGATTTCTCAAGAAATACAGAACCTGAATAATTCACACACATTTTATTTTTGTATGGGTATTTTGAACTTGCATTTATCTTTTTCTCAAATATCAATCTCCCTCCTAGTTCTACAAACTCAGCCTGCCTTTAAACTCTGCCCTAAAAATAACCTGAGTTTATCTGAGGGATGAGGAGCACGTGTGATAAAAATAATCTGAGCAATATTTTGTTTGCTGGTTCTTGGATTTCCAGTGTTCACCTTGTGTTACATGCTGGCTGCCCCCATCTTTGGATACCTCGGAGACCGCTACAACAGGAAAGTCATCCTTGGAGCTGGGATTCTCTTCTGGTCTGGTGTCACCTTGGGCAGTTCCTTCATCACTGAGTCTGTATGTTGCTTTTTTAGAGGGTACTGGGAAAATAATCTGCTTACATCTTGCAGGAGCTGATAGAGTTCCTCTCTAACCACATTTGGAAAAGTATCAGTGAGCACTCATTCCCCAAGCCTGGACTAAATGTGCTCCATGCAGGAATGCTTTATGTGAAGCTGGAGACCAGCCTAGGCAGTGGAGAATCCACACATTACTGTTGCAATTGATGGGATCTCATTTTTGTCCTGAACATTTGTTGTTTGTGACCTTACAGTGTGGCAGCTTGTTGGGCAAGCATGTGCTCTATCCACCCTACCCCGAAATTCCCTCTGGGTGTCACTGTGGGAAGTCAGTGCTGTGCAGAAGGAGAAAGCCCAGCAAGTGAGATGGGAGGGGAGCAGGTGTGAGTGGAGGGAATACAGACACAGGCAAAAGGCAGTCCAACTAATTTCCTCTGCTAAATTTGATCCACCAAAAGGCACCTCTTTAACAGTAAGCTTTCTTTCTGGCATGGACTCTTTTGCACTATAACTTGTCTTTCCCCTGCAGTATTACAGGATATTTGTTCTCTCACGAGGTCTGGTTGGCATTGGCACAGCCAGTTACTCCACCATAGCACCCACCATCATTGCAGACCTGTTTGAGGAAGGAAAAAGGACCACAGTGTTATCTATCTTCTATATCTTCATTCCAGTGGGAAGGTTGGTTTTCTTACTGGTAATTGACTGGCCTTTTGAAATTCTGTCTGACCACGCCTGCAATTCAATACACCCCAAGCCTCAATTGGATATATTTTGATGTATATCTGCCTTGGCTCTTGCAAAGGGATTTGTCACTTCCTTAGCAAGTTTGCATGGAGCTGATTAGGTTTATTTCTGTACTTACCTTGAAGAAAAATTCGCTTTTTGCCCCCAACATTTTTAGGGAGAATCTAAACTCTGGCTTTGAATAAAATATTGAATCAATTCTAAAAGAAATGTGTGCATGGGGGTATGTGATGTATTTCTGGGTTTTGGAACACAAAAGCTTTTAGATGTTTGTTTATTTGACAAATTTTTCAAGAACCCTCCATTAAATGCCTCCCAATGAAGAACTGGTACTTCCCTCTCCTCTTTTAGTTAAATTCCCACTGTGTCAAGAAGAGGAGAAGGGCCTTTTAAGTAGTTTAGAGACATTCTCTGTACTAGAGCAGGCAGCCAAGGCTGGGCCCGGAAGGCAGATTAAAACTAAAGAAATTCCTGCAGGACATAATTCCTGTGGCTAGCACAGAAAGGACTGAATAATAAACTGCTTTATGGGCTGTTTGATCTGGGTTTGCAGTGTCATTCTACAGAATATGGACTCCGAGGGGGAATCTGGGACATTATTGCCACTGTCTCAAGTCTGGCAAGCAGGCTAGCACAGAGCATGAGGGTTGTTTCTGTTTATCCCTTTTGAAAACTATGGCAGAACTCTGTGCTCTCATTAAGACACGTCATTTCAGCCCTCCAGAGTTCATTGGTGCTTTCTGATTCTTCCTTTCTGTTGCTCACAGTGGCTGTGGTTACATGCTGGCAGCTGGCATGGCAAAGAGCACGGGGGACTGGCACTGGGCATTCAGGGTGAGTCACCCCCTTTCATTCACTGACACAGCAGAATCCTCACTGGGGTTTGGATTCCTTACATCCATTGTGTTAAAGGAGGGGAGCAGTGCAAGGACTTCCTACTGCCTGACTGGTCATGAATGTGGTGTTTAAGAGAACTCTTCCTGAAGGACAAGTGGCAGATTCCTGCCTGGTTCTGGTAGGTGGAGGTGAAGCTGTACAGCAGCCAGGGCAGGTGCTGATGTTCCTCTTACCTGAGGACATTTGGAATGGTTGTCACTGCACTGAGACCTCCTCAAACAGAGGAATCTGAAGGTAAAAATATCATTACACTGGTAGCACCAGTTTCCTTCAGTGCTGTTGGGAACAACTTCTATTATTTGAAGGTTTCAAGAAAATAACTCTTCTGTTCTGATCATGTCATCATGATGTCTCTCCATACTGAGCACCCAGTGCTTTGGAAGCACTTTGTCAGATCCTCCTGCCCTGGTCTGGTGTTCATCACTTCCACTTGTGGGTAGGCTGGCTATGATGCAAAACTCAAAGTCAGGCCAGAATAGAGTCCTTCTATTCCAAAGTTAGAGTCCAAAGTTAACTGGCACATGCAGGTGAATGGGGCAGAATGTTTACTGGATGTTGTTCAGGTAACACTGGTGACTGCATCATCGTGTTTGTGGCCAGAGCACCACAGTACAGTTTTCCTTCTTCACATGTTTTCTTCAAAATCAGATGAAGCAACCATGCACCTGTAGGATGGGGAGGGAGGATTTATCATCATTCCTCCAAAGTCACCACAAATCACCAACGTCGCTCCTCTTCTTTACAAATGTGACCTAAACCATATCTGTATGAAAACAGGCATCCTTGACCCAACCAACCCTGTGTCTCCAGGTAACTCCTTGCATGGGAGGTCTAGCACTGCTCCTCCTGATTCTCCTGGTCCCTCCCAGGATCCAGAGAAGGACAGCGAGACACAGAGCACTGAGCATCTCCGGCACAAGACGAGGAGCAGATGAGACACCAGGTGTACCCAGAACTGCCAAGACTACTTGGTGTCAAGATGTTGGATCCCTTGCCAAGAAGTAAGTGAGTGGTTTGGGCAACAAAGGTTCCCTACACTGAGTGACCACTCCATTTCAAGAAATATGCCCATGAAATCCTGCCTCGCTCCTTAGTGTCTCATGCTGTTTGCAAGGTGATGGAAACACCCTTAATAAAAATCTTTCTTCCACTCTTTTGCAGGAATGCTACAAAAGAAATCAGAGATTTCTTTGCATCTTCTATCCTCCCATTTGGAGGAGGGGGAAGGAGGCAAAGTTATGGGATTGTGCTCCTATTGAAATCCAGCTCTACTTTCTTCTAAGTTTCCCCTTCCCTCTTGCTTTAGCCCTCGGGGTGAGCTGGTTCGCTTAAAGTGCGTTATTTGCAGGTGTAAATTTATCTGTAACTCTCAGTGCCCGAGGAAGGTGGGATCAGCATGTCTCAGGCAGTCTCTGTGTGGTCTTTGAGAGGCTGCTGTGCCTCTGATACACGAGGTGAAAGTGTTGTGCCCCGACACGGTTTATAAAGTGGCTGCCCACGTGTTTTGAGCAGCGGAGCGTGGCTGGCAGACGACCTCTTCCTTTAACCGCACAGAAATTAAAGAAAACACCAGCTGAGCTGCAGCACGGAGTAAATGCGGAGTGCAGCAGGTTTTTTACCCTGCGGCCAGCCGGTGGGAGCGGGGCAGGAGGAGAAGCCGGAGCCGGGCTGGGAACAGCAGGGGCCGCTGTGCAGCTGCGCCAGCCCCGGCTCCGCGCTGCGAGCCCGCGGGATGCTCCCGATCCCGGCACACCTGCTTTCCTGGGACCTTCTCTGTCTTTGGAGTGTTCGTCCGGAGAAGGGCAGCAAGGCTGGTGAAGGGACTCGAGCACAAGTGCTATGAGGAGAGGCTGAGGGAGCTGGGGTTGTTGAGCCTGGAGAAGAGGAGGCTCAGGGGAGACCTCATCACTCTCTACAACTCCCTGACAGGACGTTGTAGCCAGGTGAGGGTTGGTCTCTTCTCCCAGGCAACTATCAGTAAGACAAGAGGGCACGGTCTTAAACTCTTCCAGGGGAGGTTTAGGTTGGATATTAGGAAGAAATTCTTTACAGAGAGGGTGATCAGGCATTGGAACGGGCTGCCCAGGGAGGGGGTGGAGTCACCGTCCCTGCAGGTGTTTAAGGTGAGACTGGATGTGGCATCAGTGCCTTGGGTTGGGAACCACGGCGGGGTTGGATCAAGGGTTGGACTTGATGATCTCAGAGGTCTTTTCCAATCCAGTTGATTATATGATTCCATGATTCTTCTTCCAGAGGCTCCAGCATTCTCTAACTGACAGTTAGATTTCCATCCCATTTGCACCCAGAACAGCAAGTGCCCCAGAGATCCAGTTTGTTGGATCACAATTTGTAGTCAGTATAGCCTGGAGTGAATAAAAAGTGAATTTTCCTGAATCAAAAATGAACCCGACATTTCAACAACTAGGCTATCAGCAAAGTTTCTTTCCAAAAAGATGTTGCAGCAATGTTGTAAAAATAGATTTTAATTTTCTTTTCCTTTAGCAATTGATTTCCAAAGCATAAAGTCATACTGCCAAAAAAACAGATCCAAGAGTCCTTTATCTTTAGAAGATGGAGAACTGGGCTCAGTTCTTAGCAAATCCTCTAATCTGTAGTCACCTGGTCATTTGCAGCACTTTTGTTTAACCTTAAGATTTCATACCTCCCTATTGACCTTAAAGGGGACTTTTGCCTAAACTATTAACTAGAAAGAGACCAGCAAAAATTAAATTTTCTCCTAGAATAGGGTAGGAAGGAGACAAGGTTTGGACAGTTTTAAAAAATGCTTCTCCTTTTGTGTGAAAACTTACTGTGCAGACTGACAGTCTATTTTTACCCACTCAGAGTTAAGGAGGGGTTCAGCAACTGCATCTTCACAATTTGGAGGACCCAGAAGTTACTTTCATTTGTGCTGGTTACAGAAATGATTTAAAACCATCCTGAGGCATTTAGAGTTGCACATAGAACACTTTCCTTCAGCTACTAAGCCATTAAATTCTCGCCCACTCTCTATTGTTGTATTTCTGCTATCAAAAAATCCACAGCAATTGTTTTAGCAGAAGCTGGCAATGGAATGTGCAAGAGCCCAGGATTTAACAAGAAATCAGTAGGTCATGGCCTTTGCTCTAATTAGGACTTTATTGTTGATTTTCATAATAAAGCCTGATCAGAGTTCAGATATTCAAGGGAGTGGATTTTGATTATAAGACGTCTGAACGAATTGTTTTGTTATTGCCTGAAATCCTGGGTATTGCAGGTAGGCTTTCCCTTTTCCCTCCACCCCATTCTTTCTGATATCTCTCCCTTGTTTTCTTTTGACTTTCAGCTGTAGTTTTGTCTGGTCCTCACTGGGTCTGACAGCCATGGCCTTTGTCACTGGAGCCCTGGGAATGTGGGTACCACTGTTCCTGTACAGGGCTCAGCTTGTCCAGGGCATTGTCCCCCCCTGCCTCCAGGAATCGTGCAATTCATCCAACAGGTGAGCTGGGACTGTGGAACCACCTTGGAAACACTGCACAGCCCTAAATCACAGCTTGTTTCCAAAGGGGGAGGGCAGGATGTGACTGAACACTTCTGGTGAAGGCAATGGGGTGTGAGTGTTAGACTAAACTGCTTCCAGGTATGCTGAGACACTCCTATTTGTTTGTTTATATCACTCAGTTAACTGGGAAGATGCTGCCAGCCCTGTGTTAGTAAATTGGGAAGAAGCAGTAACAGGAACACTGGGGGAGGGGGGGGGAAAGGAGCAGCTTTAGCAAGGAGATTTCAGTTGACAAATGACTGTGCACCCCAAGCTACTTAAATACACATTTAAATACGTTTAAATCCTTTTTGGTGACTTCCCCATTATCTGCTTGTTAGTATGGCTTTAAAATCCCTGCTGTGTTGGCCAGGTGATTGTGGCTCCCAACATGAAGAAAGCTTGATGATTTTGATCTAGTACCATATCATTGCATCAGACCAGGATGATTTGGCCTTGTGAGCACCTGCCAGCAGAGCTCTGCTTACAGAGCACATCCAGATCAGTGAAGATCCATCAGTAAATATCAAATGGTGGGTGGGAAGAGGAATTTACAAGAGTAGAAGACTTTGAAGCAATCAGAACTTTTTGTGGATGACTTTTCCCCAGCTAGGAAGAAAAATCTTCCCATATGTGTTATCAGAATACAAATGTGTTATGTGTTATCCAGGATACAGTGTGTTATCCAGAACACAAAAATGCATTCAGTGCTCCTCTTGAGTCTTCATGGCTGCCCTCAGTCACAGTGAGCACTGGGACTGACTCCCTACCAGTGGCCTCCATACAAGTGTCCCTTTCTTCTGGAGGTATCCCAAATCTGGTTTCAGTCTCGGCTTTCATGATGGATTTCAAAGAACTAAGTGGTTCCTACACTGGCTTTCCAGGTAAAGACAATTAAAGGGAAAAGCATAATCACAGCTTGAGTGTGCTCTGCTAACAGGGTTCTTCTGCTTGTCTGCAGTGGAACAACTGAGCCAGCTCAAAAGTGATTTCTGAGTGGTAGTGTAACCAGATGGATTGAACAGTCACCCCCAAATCCTTCGATGGGAAATGAATTGTCCTTCCACAGATGCCCCCAGTGGGTCATAACTTACTAGTGAACAATACTGAGAAGGGAGTGAACCCAGGAGTCTGACTCGGGGTAGGCAGAGGAGACTGAACAGTTTCAGCTGTTTGGCTGTTTCTGTTCACAGATACAGTTTAAATACTTCCTTTGTTAAGCTGAAGGTGTTGCCCTCTGGTTTGCTTTCTAATCCACTTCCGAATTATTATTCCACGGTAGTGTTGCTACAGCAGACATGGTCTTCAGGGAAGGGAAACGGAGCTCCTGATAGTTTAACCTCATGTCCTGCTTCTTACAGGATACTTTAAAAATAACCTTGGCATAAACTCGTGCCAGAAGCAGCATAAGGCTGGTTTTAGACTATTATTCCAGGGGGATGTAAAGAAACAGAATATAAACAACAGTGTCAGACCTGTAGCTGATGGTGCTGGAGGAACTGAGCTGCACATTCCAGGACCTGCCCAGGGATACTTTGAGGATCCCCTCTGCCTGTTCAGCAGTTGCAGGCTTTGTTTAAGGATCAGGGCTGTGTCACAGACTCCCTGGAAACACAAACTCAAACAGCATCACAGGGTTTTTTCAGGTCTTTGTGCAGACACTTTGGAACAGATCAGACAGATAAGGGAGCATTTTCAGACCCTAAAAGATCCCATAGGAGCCTTTCCCCAGGACTCAGCTTCTGTACTTTCCTACTCCAGGCAACTGAACTGTGCTTGGATTTAGTTTTGGCTGCTCTCTTTTATTCCAGCTCCAGGTTTATTTCAACTGCAGTTTACAACACATGAATATTCTAAACACAATTCCATGAATGCTTCAATCAGCTAATGTCACCTTGGAACTTTTCTCTCCTGAACAAATCTCTGAGATAGTTACTCTGCCTAGTGACAATCTCTACTGTCACTGTCAAGCTGTAGTGAGTGATGAATCAGAATTCTGAAGAACTTGCAGGGAGACTACAAATATGCTAAAAGTTTGTTATCTTGCAGAGAAATACTTTCTTTTTTTTCTTGTAGAATAATTCAGTCCTTCCTAATCAGCCAGAAAGAAAATAAAAAGTGGATGCACTGCAGTTTAAAGGAACAGATCCTATCCCAGCTGGTTACTTTGCTTTGCAGTTAGAGAAAGCTCAGGAAAATGTACAGAACTTACCATGTAACACTGAAATATTCAGGAGCACTTGTGCTCAGAATACATTGGTCCTGTCCCTGTTTGCCTTTGGAGAACTGTGATGCATTAAACAATCAGCACCACTGGTCTTTGGTTGCTTTGTCATTGGGGTCTCATTTGGGACAGACAGAAAAGCACACACAGAAGTCTCTCTGGAAGCTGAATCTTCTAAGCTGTTCAGACATGTTCCCTTAAAGCATGAAGATGGGATTCCTGAAGAACACATTTGCATTTGCAGACACACAAAGCTGAGTGGTGCTGGACATTCTGCATTCAGAAAATGCTCCGTGGACCTGGCACAGTTAACTATTCAGTATTCTTTGAACTCCTCTGGGAAGTGGTAGGTGTTTCCCAGAGTCAGAGAAGTGACTCATCTCAGCTGTGCTAACCAGAGGGTTATAATTTAGATGTAGATCATTCCATGTGCTAGGATCCCTTCCAAGACAGCAGATTGTGATAGAGAGTTACTCCATCTGTGTTTCAGGGATGACTGAGTAGATTGGTTCACAGGGTAACCAAGATGACTGGGTCTCCTCTACATCACTGCATGTCCAAGCCAGGTCCTACTGGGCAGGGTCCTCCTTGAGCCTGGGTGCATAACACCTGCTCTGCAAATGGGAAAATATCTGCTTCCCAGGACACTCATCTTCCATGGAGGCTTGGCTGTACATCCATTTACAAGGAGTGGGAGGGTTACATCAAATGGAAAGAAATTCAAGTTCCCCATTAAAGATTCCTCTGAAACTACAGGTATAAGCTAACAGCATTCCTTTTCCTGCAGTACCCTGCTCAGCTGAATCCTTTGCTTTGTCACCAGCCTGATCTTCGGGGGCATCACCGTTGGGACGGGAATTGTGGGGGTCGTCGCTGGGGCAGAAGCCGCGAGAAGATTAAGGAAGATGTACAATAAAGCTGATCCTCTGATCTGTGCCACCAGCATGTTCAGCTCTGCCCTGTGCCTCTACACAGCTCTCATGGTGGCCCAGACCAGCATCCTTTCCACCTTTGTAAGTGACAATCAGCAACATGGCCCTTGGTGTCCTGGGGAGAATGGGAAGGGGGAGGAGGAGGAGGCAAGGAGTGGCTTTTGCAGAATTCTCTGCAGTCTTTCAGACCATTAGGAGGTTTCAGTGACTTATAAAGTGACCAGCTAAGAACTGGGAATGGTGCTCCAATGCTGCCTGTGGCCTGTCCAGTGGGATCCACCTTGGGCACTCCTTGTTCCAGGACAAAGGGCAGGCAGAGCACTGCAAACTGGGCCTCAGGACCTGCAGAGTGCACTGAAGAAGAGAACAGTAAGCCTGTGCATGAAGCTTGTCCCTTCTCCAAAAATGTAGTCAAAGCAAGTCTCAATCTTATGTTAATTATTAATGCTATGCAGCTAATTTAGTATTCTTATTTATTTTTGCTTTCTGAATCCTTAAAGATTGGTGTAGTTGGGGCTGTACAATACACAGAGTTCTTGCTAAGAATAATTGAGCCATCATCTTCAAAGTCCCAGATCACCAGCTGATCTACAAAGTCAAGCTTTTGGCAAAGCAAACTGAAGTATAAATCACTTAAATTCTCTTCTTAGCAAAGGGAAAACCAGAAACCTACCAGGAATGATGAATAGTTCCAAAAACTCCCTGTGAGAGGGAACTGAATGTAAACCTTATTTCAACTATAATCTGGTAACAGCTAGGGAAAGACTCCAAGGTTTTTTCCTGTGACTCCACAGCCAAAATCACCATGATTAACATAAATAAGAGGATCCAAGTAAAGTTAATTACAGTAATCAACAGTTCTCTGCAAAAGGGTGCTTTTGCAGGTTTTTTGCTTCTAAGAATAACACTTGTTCAAAGAGGTTTTCCTTTTGACTCCTCAGGAATGTGTATTCCTGTGGAAAAACACCTTTACACCAAAAGAAAAACAAGTGGATTTGCCATGGGCAGGGACACCTCCCACTAGCCCAGGTTGCTCCAAGCTCTGTCCAGCCTGGCCTTGGACACTTGCAGGGATGGGGCAGCCACAGCTTCTCACCTGTGCCAGGGCCTCACCACCCTCCCAGGGAAGAATTCCTTCCCAATATCCCATCTAAACCTACTCTATGTCAGTGTGAAGCCATTCCCCCTTGTGCTGTCACTACAGTTCCTGATGCAGGAGCTCTATAAGGACTGATGAAAGTTTAAATGTTTCTCTCCTCACAAACAGCACTGTGTCTTCCAGCAGGGTGTTATCCAGGAGGAAATTCCAGACTGGGCTATGGATAACTGTGTTCTTTAAGTTTCTTCCAAGGGGCAGACCAGGTAGTTTTTTAATAACAGGCTTTGCCATTTTGTCTTTTGTTTGATGTGCTCTGTGCAGGTGTTCCAGCACTGGGCAGGGGGAATAAATTGTAGGTTGTGTCAGCCCCTGATTCCCCTGGTACTTGTTGCACTGCCTGAGCATCCCCTCCTCTGGCCCAGCCCTGCCTCTCTGTGCCTTCCTAACGAGGTGGCACCAGGCACACTGCTGGCAGAACTGCAGTACCCTGGCAGCTGCTGCTTCTAATCTGAAGGCCTCACTGAACCAGATCTTCCATTTGTGCAAGACAGGAGCAGGAAATGGTTTTCCAGTCCCTGTCTCTCAGGCACAGGCACAACCTGTCTCTGCTTCACCGTGTGGGAGCCTCTGCGGCAAGAAAGGATACAAGCAATTACTGAGGTGTCTGTAGGGCACTGGGGGGGATCATCAAGGGGAACAAGGCTGTGGCCAAAGCTGGAAGAAATGTTTCAAAGCACAAGAATTCTCAAGTTAATGTGGGACTATGGCAAGGCTGACTTCCAGGGTTTGTGTTGGGGTAGATGGGCTGAAATGCTGTGAGATTGCTCTCCTCCCTCTGGATCCCCAGCTCTTGACTTCAGAGAGGCTCTGTCTCCATCTGCTCTGTCTCCAAAAGCAGCTGAAAGCCCTGTGCTCACTGCAGTGCAGGTGCTTGGGAAAGTCATGGCTGAACCCCAGGAGGTGAGGAGGTGACCCTACATCTGCAATCCACACAAGACCTTAGGAAAGAAAAGAAAATCTAACAGAGTTCTGTCTCTAACATTAAGACAATTCTGTTTGAATTTATTACTCTGTGGAGTATGAGGCCTTAGCCACTGAATATCACGTTTTCTTATCAAGGATAATTTTTCATTTGTTTCCATTCCTTTGATCTCCAGGTTGACAGCATAACTTATTTCCTAAAGATGAATTCTACTTTCCTTGCACTGGCCATGACATGCTCTTGTTCTGAGGGCTTGTACAGACTAAATAACTTGGAAAAAGCATGAAGAGAAAGAAAAACTGGAAATTACACTTTAGAAGTGCTAAACATCACAAGATTCCTATAAGGGAGATAGATCAATCTCTCATTTGATGTATGAAGGCAGGGAGTCATCTATTCCATTGGTGATATCTAGGAACAGTTTGGAAGCCTTCAGAACCTTCTGCTCTAACTGTTGGATTTGCATCTTGTTATATTTAAAGTATCAGCCAGGATCTAAATAAATCTCTTTGCTCTTTATCTCTTTCCTATTTCCCTTTAACCTGCACTATCTCTTGCTACCCATGGCACCACTGATAGAGGTTAGGTAAGTTCATACCATTATTGCTTGATGAATTTGGATCTTCCAACAGATCTACTTCAGAGAATTTTACCTTGAAATAAAGGGATAAAGAGCTAATATTTTCTGGGGAGTGCAAGATTTCACAGCCAGTCCTTATTGCCAAGTGTCTTGGTAAAAAGCTGAGCTGTGTGATTTTGCTCCCCATGTTAACAACCACATTTTGTGTTTGCCCAGAGTTCTCTAATGTAGATGTTTCACTTGCTTTCCAGCTAAGGCTGGAGCAGTGATATTGCAACAGTCCTGAACTGGAGAACAACACTTGCACTCTATCTCTTGTGAGGGCAAACCCTGCCAAGGTTGTGTCAGTGGGCAGACTTGGACAGTAGGATGCATAGATCCAAGGAGTACATATCCAAGATACATATTCAAGGAGTATGTGAAATGACTGATATTTGTTATAACTTAAGGAAAAGCAACTATGTGTGAGGGAATGGATTCAGCTGCAAATTAGGAAACCTGTATAAAGCTTTGTGAAGAGAAAGCTATCTGGATAATGGTCTATATTAAGTATCTCAGTTCTTCAAGGAACTTGTTCTCCAAACTGGTTTGGAGAAGAAAACACATGAGCAGAACAGACCAGAACCACAGAGGAGGCAGGAAGATGTGCAAAAGGTCTGGTTCTCCTTAAGAGAACATCAGCCACCCCTCCAAAAACATCTGGGCATTTGCCACTGTGCCTTTCCTAGACCAGCTACGACATCTTGACCAAGGCCTTACTGAACAGGATGCCTGTTGTAACCATGGATTTTATTTCCCAGGTGCCATCTGACTTTGTGGCCTGTGTCCTAAATAGACTCTGCCTTCTAGCACTGCTCCACCTTGACAGTGTAGCTTTACTGCTCTCCTAAAGCCTCACCTAGCCTGGGCAGGCTGCTCCAATCTGTATCCAGGGCTGGCTGAGAGGGTTAATATTCTCTGAGCCCACAGCAGTAAGAACTGTTGGGGGCCCTACCCCTTTTCCTGATGGCTGGGTCTCCATCTGTGATGGATTAGGGAATTCCCACAGGGCACCAAGGCTTCAAGGCTGCCTGTTCCTTGGAGTCCATTCCATTTTGGAAGTTCTCTCTCTGAAAGAGCCTTTAAGACTACTTGTACTAGCACAGAGATGCTTCATTTGCAAAGGGACATCTTTGATAATTTTTCAAACCTGTGCTGAAAGTTTCTCTTCCCTTGCTTTCCTCTTCCTGGGTTCAGCAGTTCATCAGGAGGGTGGTGTGTGTTTCCTATTTTGACTCTTCTGCTGAGGATTTGTGACACAAACCCCACATACCTTCTCTGGTTCCTTTCTCCACTTTTAAGATGAAATTAGGGTTTGTAAGCACAGACAGAGATGTTCAATTTATAAATAAATGGGTGTGGAGGACAACTCTCCCACAGGCATAGTCAGTGAGCCTGCCTTTATCCTCACACCAAAGAAGGACCATGCACTGTGGACAGTCACTGCTTTCTTCTCTCCTGCAGATTTTTATTGCATTTGGAGAACTGTTTTTATCTGTGAACTGGGCTGTTGTGACAGACATACTGCTGGTAAGTGCTCAGGCATCTACTTCCTTATTTCAAGTTTTTTCTCAACATAATGTTCCTAAGGCTGCATCTTGGTGGCTTTCTGGGAAGAGACAAATGAACTCCTATGAACAATCCCCTTGTTGGTACCCTGCTCACACTGGGGATGGAATCACTGCTGGGCAAGGATGCCACTGCCAATAGAGGTGTGGTGGTGCAGTCATCCAAGTTATTGTGAGCCTGGAAAGGAGATGTCCTGGCTTGGATGGAGCTTCTGCACATGGAACTCTCTAGTGCTGCCTGTCCCCAGAGCAGTTTGGGTTTCTGTACAGCTCTGTGTTGTTGGGTGTCTGCCAGAAAATGGTCTGCACCAGAAACAGGTCATTTTGTGTCTATAATCAGGTTTTCTATTTGTGCTCCAAAGGTTTAAAAACATGATCCAAATGAGGGAAAGTCAACAGTCTGTGAACTATGAACAAGTTGCTTTAATCCAGAATACAGTGCAGATGAATTCCAGTCCAGTTCCTGAGTGGAGCTATGGTGCCAAAGGGCCAGGCCAGCACTGATGGTCACGAGGGTCTCAGGGATCCAGGGCTGACACTACAAGCCCAAGGAAGGGCAGTGCATGATTTCATTTGGATTCTGCCATCAGAATTTCTTTAGAAAGCAGTGGTGTGAAAAGCACACATCTTGTGGCACTGTTAGTCTAGGTTTCGATGAGCAGCTTGGGTTTTTTATCATTTCAAAGGTTTTTAGTTAGTAATTTTTTAACACACTTGAGTTTTTACTCAAAGGAAAAATTTGGCAATCTTTCATTTATGCCGTAGCTCCACAGTAACTGATCAGTGTCTGTGTAAAACCTGTGACAGATGTTGTTATTAACACTGAATTAGAGAGATTATCACAGTCTTATCAAGTAGTTTATATGACTTTTTAATTAAATGCATAGTATGAACAAGTTGAATACTGTCAATTAGTCAAATAGGCAAGGAAATGATCTACCTTGTTCACTTCTAGTAATGAGACTGCAGAAAACTGATTTAAGTACCAGAGCCAGACTTAATTAAATGATTGACAGTTCTTCTGTTGCTCCCCATGGGCACAAGACAGAACATTTCAATTGACACTATCCTTTTCTACAAAGGGTGGAGTGCTGGGTCACACAGGAGACCCAGCCTCGCCACTTTGGGATCCCTGTGCTGGTGGGTGTGACTGTAACCCAAACATTCCAAGCAGGAAGCTCCCTGAGAGACAGGGATTGATGTGTGATTGAAGAGTGGTACAGGCAAAAGGCTGCTGCAGCTGGTACTGAAAGTGGGGAAATGGTGTGAAGGCACCAGGACAAGTGAGAGAAGGCATCAAGCCAAGGGCACAGCAGAACAGACACCTCTGACTGTTTCTTCCCAAGCAAGAGTCCCGTGTTTCCCGTTTGATGTGAAAGTGTTTCATCCTGAGGGAGCTCAAACCTATTTGCAGGTTGCTGCTGCAAACCCTGCTGTCATAATAAATCTTTCATTTAAGAACCACAGTGAATGCATTCATATATGGCACAACACAGCAGCAGTTCCCAAGAGTTTAGGACAGCAAAGGAACCTTGCAGGCTGTGCCTCCCCTGGAGCACAGCTGCCTATGAGCCTGTGAGGAACCAAAAGTTTCCACCAGGGAGTGATGGCACCATGGTCTGAGTTGCTCAGATACAACTTGCTTAGTATCTCTTCCACCTAATTAAACCCAAGGAGAAGACAAGCTGAGCAGAGATAAAAGCATCTCTATTACAGTGTTCTGTGTGAAAGGATGTGACAGAACTGCCCAACACTGACCCCTGTGTAGTGACCAAAGGGTCCTGCTGTGAAGCACCACAGAACTCTCCTTCCACTGCTGTGACCTTGCCTTGACATGAGCCTGTTTATCCACATATTTTATAGCTGAAGAGCCTTTCTTTACATTCTGATTGAGATGAAGGAAAGGAACTCCTTACATTTCACGGGTCTTCAGCAAAGCCCTGCCAACACTGTGCGTTATGTCCTCTTTCCTGGTGCTGCTCCCTCTGTGTCAGTTTTCTGCACTCTGGAATTTTCATTAAAGAATAAATAATGCAGTCAGCATTAGGGAAATGGCTTCCTGCTTAAAATCTCAGCCAGCAGCAAAAGGGTTTTGCTTCTTCTTTGACTCTCACAGAATGGTCAGAAACAATTATCCTATGAGAAAAGAGCTGGAGCCTTGCAGCAGTGAACAGGTGCAGAAAAACTATCACTGCTCCAAACTGACAACTTTTATTAGCTTCTGTTTCAGTTTATTTTGAAATCACTGGGGTTTTGTACCAGAACCAAGTATTATTACAATTACCATTCTTTTTACATCAGCTGAGGCACCACTGAGGGATTTTTTTAAGTTTCTCAATTTACTTTTTTCTGAACTCCTCCATCTGCATTTTAATTCTGTCCTCTGCCACTGTTAAAGAGGCAGGTGACACTGAATGAGGTACTGGTGATGTATGATGAGGAAAGTGAGGCAGATGGTTACTGTCAGCTCATTCCTTCAATTCCTTCCTGAACCCAAACTGCAAATCCTGGAAGGAGCTGGGCTTTGGTTCAGTTCCATCGTTCCAGTCTCAGTTTGCTCAGGGAACGCTGCATCACATCCCAGCCTGCAGGAAATCTGTGGGGAGTGCCACTGCATATCCTGGATCCATCTAAATCCAGAAGAGAAGGAGATTCTTGTCTCCCAGGTGACCAACACCACTCACTGCATTTACTTTAGAATAGTTTGGGTTTAGGTACCAGCAATGTTGCATTGATTGGCAACAAGTGGGGAGGTGATGAGTTTGGCTGAGTTCTGTGGTGGTGTGTCCCCCTGGGAGCAGACATTCAGTGGATTACCAAGAGTGTGCTTTGGGTTGGATCTCTTGAATTCTAAATATTAATCATTTTATCAGAGCAATGATGGAATTGAGCTGAATTTGTGGGAATCTGCTCATTTAGTGGCAATTTTATCCAGGAGCTGGGTTTTGTCCTGCTGGAACCCCACAGGTTTGGTATATTTCTGCTGTTGCAGTGACTGAAGGGTGCCACAGATAACAGCAGTAATTCCTCTTTTTGTCTTGTTTCCCATGTGAACTGGTAGGATTTCTGACAATGTAGCTGGATTTGCTAATGCATGTTCTTATTTTGCCATGAAAATGACTTTTCTTTCTTCCCACATGGCACTACTAGCCAGACAATGTAGCTAGAAATTCATTTATCCTGCGACCTGTGGAGGTGAAGACAAAGGGAGATGCTGGCTGAATGATGAGGACTTTCTTGCTTTGTGGCTGTGCATCAGGATGCAGTGCATGGAGCCACTTCTGTCCTCCTGCTCAGTGTAAACACAGAAATCTCAGCTGTACAACTCCAGTGCTAATGTGCACGTGGAGAGGGGCTGGAGCTGCCCTGCTGCTTTACTGGGAGGCTGTACCTGGACTGTCCCTTATGAAACATGTTTGTCCTCTGTGAGGTGACAGGACTCTGTCTTTTAGGGTTGTGGCAGCTAATAGCATAGGAGATGCTGGAACTGGAAGCCTGTGTGGGCCTTTGGAAGGCAACCAACACATTCCTGCCTTTGGAAGTGCCCTGGGAGGTGCAGGAGTGTTCCCCAGCCTGTGTTCCATCTGCTCTTTCAGCTGACAGCTCTGTGACAGCGTGTGCAGGAGGGTCTCTGGAACCCCCAGACACAGCACCACAGGCTTTGCAAACTGTACCTGTTTGGGGCTTCCCTGTCCAGGCCTCTGGGCTGGGATCTTCTGGGAGATGGGGGAGTGCAGGATGTCACCAGCATCACTGCCATGGGGTGGGGCCCTGGGCAGTCCCTGTGGCTGGGCAGGAGGCTGTGGCTACTTCAAAGTCCCTCTGTGGGGGCATCTTTTGTTTTTTCTTTTCCCAGTGAATCCCACAGTGCCTGGAGCTCTTGGTTTCCATTGTACAAAAGAACCTGAGTGACAGCACAGGCAGAGATTGTAAGACCCTCTAAACTATAGGAAACATCCCATCCTTCTATATTTCTTGTTACAGCTTTATTCCACCTGTCTGTTGTAGTTAGAGATATGGGATATTAAAGAAATGTGGTAAGGAGGTGGTGCAGGGCACTGGGAGAGACAGAGCCCATTTAGCTTCTCTGGTGTTTGCAATGCCCACGATACAGTAAGTGCATAACAATGTCTGATTTCCATTTTTCAAACACAGCCTGTAAAAGACATCTGAGTGTAGGACAGATGACATGATATCCTTGGAGAGCCAAGACCTAAAAGTCTCCAGTCCTGTACAGTCTGTCAGAGCCAGGTCTGTCTGAGTTTCCCAAGCTCAGAGTTTTCTACTGTAGTTCCTTTATCTCTCTCTGCACAAGAGCCTGTTCCCAAAATGCAGATGCTCATCTGGTACTCCGGGCGTGTTCCAAGAGAAAACAAAGCATGAGGAGGCTGCACACCCTCAGTTAGGCCAGAGTGTGCCATGGCCTCAGTGAGGAGGAGCTGGGGGACTGTTCCTTCATCCTGTGGGTGACAGGGGTTTCAGAGCAGCCAATCTCACACGACTCTGCTCTTGCTGGCCCAGGACTGGGTGCAGTGTCGTGGCAACATGGCATCAGAGAGGTTTCCTGTAAATCTGAAGAGATGTCCAACACATCCCTGGTTTAATACTTATTATCATTGAAGCACTCTATCTAAATATTCCCAGTGAAAAATAAATGTTCCATCCATGGTTAGAAATGTCTACTTTGGAGGGGCTGGGAGGGATTCAAGGGAGCTGCATGTGCCCAAAGGAAGGAAGGAGGTTGTGCCTTCCAATCCAGCTGCACTGTACAGAGCTCTCCTTCTGGGTGCAGAGGGGCTGGTTGGGAGTGATTTGTGTATCCAAGGTTGAGGCCATTTCTGCCTAAGAGGGGCACTGCCAGTGTTCCTGGTTCTTTACTAAAACTGGCTGTAATATGGAATAAGCAGGACAAAACTCTAAATTAAATGTGAGAGCAGGATCTTTTCTTAATTTTAAACCCAATTTACTGATCATGTTAATGTTTCCTTGAAGGCAGCTATAGGGCCAGTATATAGGTTATATACCTTGAGTTTGTCTCCTGGTAAAACACCGATCACCCTGTTAATTAGTGTTTGAGACACACTTAGTGATGTTTAGATCACCTTCAAAACAAAAATAAGTTGTGGGGTAGAGGACTGGGAGAATATTAAGCATTTTTTCTCTGCTATGAGCAAGTGGTTGGAAAACAAAGGTATGAAGGTTTGAAATTGCTTCTGTCTCATTCTGACTGTGAATGCATTTTGTGTAAAGGCATTATTGAAAGAGACACAAATTATATGGAATCATGCTGTACTTCTTCAGGCACAGTTGATCTTCAGTAGCACAGGCACAAAGCCCTTATTACCCCCAAATTACTATATTTTATTTGACAAAATGGTTCTAATCTCTGTGATGCTTTGCTGTGTCCTGGGTGTGCACACCTCCAACTTGTTATTTAAACTGTGTGCACTCACAAGCAAAATCATTTGGAGGTGTTGATATCCAGTGATCTCAGGTGATACCCATTTACAGGCAGTGCCATCACAGCACCACCAGCCACCTTCTGGTCTCACAGCTTGGGTCTCCTCCCTGTGTCTCCCCGTGGTCTGTAAGGTCCCAGCTGACACGCTGTACAGCCACAGGGGCTCCTTCGGGCTCCAGGTCCCCCAGAGTCCCCCCAGCAGTCCAGACCAGGCCTGCTGACACAGGTCACAGGAGACTTTTCCCAGGGGCTGTCAGTGCTCAATATCCTTATTAGCAAATCATTATGACTGCAAGGAATACTTGGCTGGAGGCTTCTGATAGTTGCATGGCCAAATGAATCTGTGTAGTAAGGGGAGTCCTGGTTTAGTTACTTTACTGTCGTTCCCTCCCATGTCTTCCTTCCCTGAATGTTCTTTTCCCTCAACAAAACGTGCAATGTACTCTTTTGCCCAGAAAAACTTCTGTGTTTCCAAACTTGTAATACAAAATACAAAAGTTAATGCCTCAATGTCTCTGGGATGTCCCAGAAGCAGCTGCCATTGCTGAGGCTCTCTCTGGTGCTGTTTTGTTGCAGTACGTGGTGACCCCGAGGCGCCAGTCCACGGCCATCGCCCTGCAGATCCTGCTGAGCCACCTGCTGGGGGATGCAGGCAGCCCGTACCTCATCGGGGCTGTAAGTGAACTCCCTGCTTCTGGAGCCTTCCTTAGGGGAAAACTACCACAAACTGAAACACACTCGCAGACCGTAGACACTACCTGGTCCAAAACTACAAATTACTTATATTGCTTATACTGGTTCTAGAACACAGACATTATTTTTTACCTGCATGAAACCCCTGGTCCTGTGACACTGCAGGTGGGTAGAATTATAATCTTATATAGAATATAATCCTATCCATGCAGTAGAAACTTATTTTGATCTGAAATGTGAAAACTCACGTATTTTTGAAGGTACATGTTTTTGCAAACATGATGTCATGGGTACTGTACTTGGATTTAAGCACTTTCTGCTCTTGTGAGGAGTTTCATGGAAATTAATCAAATGCATTTAAAAGCCAAGACTCAAAATCTCAAAGTTGATGGTCTCTTGGAAATCAGAACAAAAGTGATGCAATTTTGCCTTTAGATACTACTTGGCCTTTAAAGCTCTGGTCTCAAAGCACCTTAACCTTGATTTTCATATTCCTTGAGACCTGATTTCTTTGCCCTGCCTACATTTACCTGATCTGAGGTGCTTCTGGACAAAGCAGCCAAATCCTGTTTTCTCTGTGCAGTTCATTAGTTTCAGTTCCAGTGGATTGTACCTGTCAGTGCCAATTCCTTCCCTCATTCTTTGTGATTTAGGACACAGTAACTCTGCACACACCAATCACCCACTTTGATTTTTCTGCTTTACTGGACATGGAAGAGAGAGTGAGTCCTTGTTGTTGCTTTAAAGTTTTCTTTGTATGGGAGTTTATTTAAAGTTCACCTCAGGACTCTCTGTTGGTGCTTTGTCCCCTGTTAACAGTGGCAGGGTTAGACAGGGCCAGGAATGCCCCAGTGAGCTGTTCCTGCAGGCACAGCTGCTGCTCCAGCCTCACACGAGCTTCCCCTTGTCCTCAACTGGGTGAAAACCAGAGTTTCAGCTGTGTAATCTGTCTGGCAGAGAAGACACCCTCTCTCACTGAGGGATTCCTCCTGCTCAGCCTCTTTTTTTGGCAAATGAAGAGACCACTTTGCTCATCCCTGTGTATTAGGAAAGTCCTGCCCTCCCACTAATCCAGCTGTCTGTGTGTGGGAACAGAACACCCAACACCCCTGTGCCAGGGAAAATGGCTGACATGGGATGCAGCAACGGGAGGAACCCTAAAAGCTGAAATACCTCTTGTGCCTTCTCCTTTGACCAGTTGTTTAAGCTTCCTGCCTGAAAGGTGAAGCTGTTTGTGCCTCTACCCCCCCACGTGTCCTCTGAGGCCTCGTGCGGGCAGTGCTGTGTCACCGTGTGCAGGACCTGCAGACAGGCACCTTAAACAACAGCTCACCCAGGAGTGTGAAGACAAATAAAGTTTATCCAGATGAGATTAACCTCAGGTAACCTTGCAACTTCATAAAGAACAGAGACAACAAACCCAGGAATAAAACTGCTCTGTGTCCGGGTGGGATGCTGTGCAACGAGCACCTCATTTCTTCTGGAATGCTTCTGTGAGCCCAAACACCAACACAGCCCAGGACTGCTGCTGGTTAAACACTGAATCTGCTTTCACATTCTGCTGTTGTTTTATAACCTGCTTCAGCCAACCCTTTAGCTTAAAATCTGGCTGAATAATCAGGGAATAGTCTTTTTCAGAGTCTGTTTTTCTTCCTTCTGCGCTCCAGAAATTTTTCACTAAGAATCTTAACATTAAATGCATTAGGTTTGTATTGTGGCCATGATGCTTGCTGTAGTCTCTAGGTGCCCATTTAGAATTTATCTTGCTTTTATCTGCCTAAAGTGTCATAAATAATCATATAAAACCCAGCAAAGGTTGAAGAGTCTCATATTTGTGCACTTCAAATCACACGGTGCATTCTAACTATTAAGAACAAATGTGGGAATAAAAATGACTGCTTTTAACATTTATCTTTTTGTTTATGCTAAGAAGAGATTTCAAGTTCCTTGAGTGTTGAATCTTATTGAGTTTCTTGAAATCAGCTTTTCTTTCTGTCTGCAAAAATAAAATTCATATGTATCATTCATAACCTTTACAACTTCATCCTCCCACCAGTGCAAAAAAGCACCTGCCTGGTATCTTCTTCTCCCAGTTCCTTACTGTGTCACTCCATGACTCCTCAAATGCCTTTTGGCTCAAAAGCAGCCCCCACTCTTGTCTGTAATTAATCTCCAGCTCTTCCCTTTCTAATGAGTGTTGCTGCTTGTGCCTGTAGTGCTGTTAACCCCCTGTTTCTATCCACTGGATGCCAGTCAGGGAGGTATAAAGTTATTGAACAGCACCAAGAGATGCTAAAGGTCATTCCCAAATGCCTGTGCTGTGCTGGCTGTCTGGAGATGGGCTAGGAAATGGTAAAATGTATTTCCCACTCCTGTGAGTGGGGGCACCGAAGGGATGAAGAACATGAGATTCCTTGAGCAGTGGAAGCTGGAGAGCAGGGCAGTCCAGGTGTGCTTGGCAAGCCTGGGCAGCAGCCTCTCATCCTGGTGTGCCTGTCTGATCCTTCCCAGGGCCACGCTGTGACCAGGCTGTTAAACCACGGGAGGAAGGGGTGTTATCCCAATTAATGCAGCCTTGTTCCCTCCCCAGATCTCCAATGCCCTGCAGGCCCGGGGTGCTCCGTCCTTCCAGAGCAGCTTCCGGAGCATCCAGAGCAGCTTTGCCATCTGTGCCTTCGTGGGGGCCTTTGGAGGAGCCTTTTTCCTCCTGACATCTCTGTACATCGAGGGAGATCGGAGAGAAGCAGAAAGGCCCTGAGGTGTCTGTATGTCTGTATGACTTCTAGACTTGTAGCTGGTGGCTTTCCCGTGGGGACACCAGCCATGGTATGGGATCTGAACCAATATCTGTGTTGTGGTAATGCCACACTACTTTTGATAAAAAAGATAAAGGCAAAATCCCAGCAAAGTCTCAGATTAAATAAACCTCCCATGTCGAGCAAAACAGACCCCAGAGCTCACAAGGACCAGGGAAGTGCTGGTAGTGACATCTGCAAAATGCTGCAGTGCCTGGAGGAAATAACATCCTTTACTGTAGTGCACCAGTGCAGACTGCAGGGAGCAGGAGGTTCTTCTGCTCTGGTCTTTCTCAGCCCTGTAGAACCAGTCCTGGCTCTCTGTAGCACTTTTCCCTCTTCCCAGGGAAGTTCATGTTCAAAGTGTAAAAGACCTGAAGTAAACCTGTTGAATTGGACAGAACACATCCTCAGTCCCCTGGGTTCTTACAGCCTCCTTCTGCTCTGACTTGGTTTTCCAGGTACCAGCAAAGAACTGTCTCTCAGAGGAAGATGAACTCTGGGGCGAGATTTGCACAGAAGAAAAGACCATCCTCCCCTTTTTCTTTCCTTTTTGCTTAATGAGATACAGCTGGAGAAAAGGCCAAATCACAATTCCTCCATATGGCAGAAAATCCTGCACACTGACTTTTTTTGGATGCTTTTGACTGTGAGTCAAAAATCGCTCTTGCACTGGCATATGGCAACCCTCCCCCATCTGCAGCGAGGCCTGAGGACTCTGTGGGGCTGGGGAGCTCCAGGAGGTGTTTTATGGAGCTGTCACTGGCACCACTGCTGACCCCAACAAGGCAGGAGCTTTGGAGGCACAATGTCTCCTGGAGATTAGGGAGGGAGGCCCATGAGTGCTCAGCAGGATGAGATTTGTCTGTAGAATTTGCAAAATATAGATAGTACAAAGTCAGTGTCAGATTCAAGAGGGGAGGGTCATGATCATTTTATATGTAATGTGTTAATGGTCTCTTCCTAATCCTTTGAGGCTCTTCAGCATATCCTCAGGCCTTGGGTAAGTATCTCCTCTCAGAAGGGAACGGAAGCTGAAAAACCACTTAAACAGAACTGTCTATTTGAGCTCCTGTCTCTCAAGTGCAGAGGATCTGGGATGTGGTATCTGCTGTCTCAATATCATGCCAGATACATGATCAGTGGGGCCAACCTTCACTGTTTGTCACAATGTAGTTTCCAGCAGCACCTTAAAGCCAAAGCCTGAGGAAGATATTGGCAAGTGAATTGTGAAGTGTTATGAATCTTGCCTGATTCTCCCAGTAAATCATAAGGATCATAAAGCACAACATTCCTGTAATGGTTGTGAATGTCTAATGTCACTATAAATACCATAATTCAGCAACTGCAGGTTTTTGTTTCTCCTTCTGTCTACCTCATTTTTAAAAAATCTGTTCTGAAATCTGACTTAGACCCACGTAGTGAAGGGTGACCATTGTGGGAAATAACAGAGAAGCTTTTTGTGAAACCCGGTAAGAGTGTGATAATTGTCTTTAAAATAAAAGTTGGTGTTCTGAAAGACTGAGCAGCTTTTTCTGGTTGTGAAAGCCAGCCATGGCCATTATACCACTGACCTTTTGGAAATTTGTCCCACAAGGGATTTTTGCTCTTGGATGTGAATGCAACAGCTTGTAGAGGTCTAAGAGCTTCAGGCATGGCAGGATTGCAGCAGCTCCACAGTGCTTCCCTATTGCTATGCTCAGGATTTGCCCTGGAAACAGATGAGCTATTTATCACTTTAGTTAAGTCAGCATTAAATTCGTCTAATAAAAAATTAACCAGGAGCTGTATCTGCCCACTGTGCAGGCACGGATTTGACATATGAGCAAGAGATGCCAAATGCTGTTCTGGAAATGGTACACGGAGTCCGGGACAAACTCCTTCCTACTCCTACTCTCCTCTCCTCCCTGAAAGCCTAGAAATGAGCAGGATCACTCTGACTAGTTCAATTCCATCTTTTCAAATGCCTCTCTCTTTTCTTTGTAATTTAAGGGCATTTGGCAATTTTTTTGTTATTTTTTGCTGAATTTTAGCAGGACTAACACCCACTCGGCTTCTGGCCCTCTGTCTTAAAGATGGAACCTCACTAGGATTTGTAAAAGGAGGAGAATTTCATGACGTTTTCTGCATGTCTTGAATTTGCTTCTTAGCAGGTGGCACCAAATTCTGCACTGAGGGATGAACTTAGTGCTGGAGGATGCTGTGGTGAACTGCAGCTATTTCAGACATTACACTCCTTTCATGCCACCAAAAAACTTGGATTAGGGAAAGCCACAGAGTCCTGGCACATGGACAGTGAAGGAACTGAAGTTCTCTTAAGGCATCAGCTGAAATACCTGTTGTTTTCTACATTTCCAACTAAGTACAAGTAAGGGAAAAATAGAGGCATTAAAAAAGTTATTAAATTTGCTGCTTTGTCTACATTGGAAAGAGCTGCTGCTGGAAGCTGCTGGTTATGGAGATGGTTTGTTCTGCAGCATTCCTGCTGCCTGGAGTCTGTGTCCCTTGCAGCAACTGAATGATAACGTGTATTTTCTGTAACTGTTTGTATATTCTCCTCCTACCTTTAACATTTCTTCTTTGCTCTTTCCCACCAAAACAGTGGGAAAGAGGCACTTTGGAACAGCTCCAAATGGTGGGATTTTATAATTCCATTCAGGTAACCATTTTGATCTTTTCCTCCCCTTCTTCCCTCATTCCCAAAGCAGGGACAGGTGACCTTCAGTGCTGTTTATGTGGATATTTTTTAAACAAGTTTTAGAGCTCTGCTTTGCATAAAAATGGCCTTCAGAGTTGTGATTATTTGGAGCTTCTACCAAATGGGTGCAAGACACACCTAAGACACAACAGTGCTGTGCTGTGTCCCCACTTGCCCAGGGGTTCCTCCCACCACTGATGTGCTGTGACATTGCTCTCAGCACAGTTTTAATTGTCAAAGACATTCCATGTCACTTTTTCTCTCCTTCCCAAACCACTGCTCTGGGATGGGATTTCCCAGCTCCTCAGGATCTCCCTGTACCAGGGCTGAAGGTGGCAGAGCTCCCAGGATCTACAGCTCCTGTGTGGGTGCCCTCTCCTAAGAACACCTCATGTTTTGCTCCTCTTTGCCCTCATTACTCGTGCAGCCAAATGGTCTTTTGCAAACTAAGAAACCCCAAAGTCCTCCACTATTCCAAAACTTTCAGGGCAAAAATTTTCTTCAGAGATCCTTCTGCTGGTTTGGAAACACTGTTCACTCCTCAGGCCTCCTTTGAGCACTGGGTTCTCCCACCCTGCCCGTGAGGGTGCCTGGGACCAGGGAGCACTCCCCTCATCCCTTGGAATAGGCACAAACCCCATGGAAGAACATCTGTGGGGCCCTGCCAAGTCCTGCTGGCATTTGAGTAGTTGGAACTGGCTGTGTTCATCTCAGTTCTATAATTATCCTCATTGTAATCCAATAAAGCCTTGGAAAGGTTCTTAGAAGGCTTTTCGTTTATAAGGGAAGCAAAGGTTGATATGAGGAGACTCCTGAGCCTGATGCTGGTGAAGGTGATCTAAGTTGTGGGGATCTCACTTTGTGTAATTCAATGTTTCAGAACAGTTTTGTTATTAGTATGTAAATTACCCACACACCCTGGGATAATCAGATGGCTGAAATTCAGGACATTATTGTAAGGGCTGTCAAATCTCATTGCAGGAAAGTCCTTTGGAAATGCCCTGTTCAAAGTGCCCAGGTTTGGACTGTGATTCCATCCCAGCCAAGGGGGCTGGAGCAGGGCTTGGGAAACACACTCTCTATCCCTAAAACTAGGATTCTGTGCCATGAAAAGCCTGATCTGTCCAGGACTCAGCTCACACTGTGGCACTAAGGTCTGACTTTATCTGCTCATACCCTCCAGTGTTAATATCCCTACAGTTAATATTTTTCTGTATTACTGTGAAATGCTTTTAAATGGAATCGAAAGGTAAATTCATGTATTCATGCACACAGGTATAATTTGCTTTTCAGTACTGAATGTGTTGGGCAGGAGGCTTGAAACTGATGTAAAAGGATGGGAATCATTTTTGAAAGTACTGACTCCAAGTCACCTATTTAATTCCACCTCAAGTACCCTAGGAAGTGGCCTGACTTCTCCCTTCCTTCATTCCTTTTTTCCCAAGAGCCTTGCATCCCTCTGTTCCTGACAAAGGCAGACTGAGCAGCTGTGTGTTCAACACTCAAGGAAATTAGGCCATTTGCTTAAAGATTTGATTATGGGTTTGGAATCCTAATCTTGGGCACCTAATTTGGAAATCTTGGTTGTAGGGAGTTTTTTTCAGGAATATTTCTATCCTGCTCCACGAAAACATCACTTTAAGAAATGCAGGCCTGTGAGCAGAGCTTAAGCTTCAGTGTGGGAGGCAGTGCAACTGTTCTGCACAGCTTTTTGTCTTTGCAGGTTGCATTTTCAGTGCCTGACCTTGGTTTTTGTGTATATGGACACCCTGCACAGAGGAGATGTCACAGGGAGGGGGGTGGCAAAGATGGGAGCAGGCAGGGCTGTGAGGGAGGACATGGAGTGAAAAAGGACACCTGAGTTCTTGCTGAGAATATTTCCACAGTAAAACCAGTGAAAAGAAGTTTCTTTAACCCATTTAGAGATAAATGTGGATTCATTGAGTAGTGGAATAAAATGTGGATCACAGCCTACTTATAGGATGTGAGAAACATCTGCCCTCCAATGAGGCTGCAGAGGTGCAAGAAAAGGACCCAAATTCCTCCTCCTCCTTCTCTTCCTTCTCCTTGCCTTTGGACTTTATTTCCAAAGGCCCTGGAAAGCCAGAGTTAAGACTCACTTGTCCTGAGGTAGGATCTGTCAGAGGGGCAGTGGCACCCACCTCCAGCAGGTGCTGTGTGTGTCAGACACGCTGGGAGCAGTGCAGGTTGTCAGGGACACTCTGAGCTGTTTGTATTTGCTGCCCAGGCAGCCTTTGCTCCGTCCTGTTCTCCACCAGCTGTGACAAGGGATAACAAGGGATAATGTTATTCTGTGTCTCCAGGCTCCTTTCCACTGGGAGCTGCCTCTCCCGGTGTCAGCTGAGGACAGGACACGGTGTGTGACAGCACAGCCAGCACAGGTCCCTCAGCGGGCTCTGGAATGTGGCTTTGCTCCTCCTCCTTTCGGCCCTCGTGGCTACAGGGAATGTGTTCCAGCCGTCGGGAATGCTGAGAGTCCAAGGGAAGCTGTCGCTGTCCCTGCCAGGGAGAGGCCTCCCAGCACAGGAGGCTGGACAGGGCTGGGCACTCCAGGGACTGACTCCAACAGGGGCAGGGTGGGCAGGGACATGGGAATGAACAGGAGGAGCAGTGGGGAATGAGGAATGACATCCAACATCCCATTCAGCAACGGTGACATCAGGATTTTAAAGAAATGTCCAAATACATTGGTTCCTTGATGGGATTTGTTTTAATCTGTGTTAAAATAGGAGTTTATATTTGTATTTGCCCCTGTAGCCCACTGCTTTAATAGGATTACCTTTAGCATCACCCTGTGGGCTCTTCCACTCCTCATTCCACATCTTCTGTGTCTCAGCAGATCCAATCAGGTGTTTTTTCATTGCTCAACAGCACAGAGGAAATGAATTTTTCTGGTGAGGGGAAAGCACAGTGAA